ATAGAAAAATCTGTCTTTTTATCCAGGGTTGGAGTTTCTTAGCCTGTTAGATTAAAGATGTGCTTTCAAGTATCCATGAACCCCTAAAGTTGATGCACATTTTATGCATACATGAATTTGTGCATTTTTCCTAAGAGAAGGATCAATAGCTCTCAAATTTTTAAGGTATCTGTGGCCAAGAGACCTTTTTATATAATGGATTTTTTAAAACTCTCCAATTAAAATTCTGAGGACAAAAATTAATTATAACTTTTTATGAGATCAACAGCCTGCATGACATCAACTGTTAGGAAGATGATGGCTGGCCAAGAATCACTTAAATCTTTACTAGGCAAGATTTTTAAGTTTATACAGTTTTCTTTAATACATTCCCCATCCTTGTATTAATATCCTATAATACTTTGGCTATCTGTGCTACGACTGTCAAAACACCTTTATTTTGGAGGTGGGGGTGAGGAGTAAGAAACAAAATTTGCTTCAGAGTTTTATTCACTCATGTTGAATGAATTCACTTATCATCATATTTGCCCTGTGTGGTCAGCTATCATGAAGGTGAAAATGGATAGCTATGACATCTTTAATGGGCCATCCGCTCTCTTCCTTTTACAGACCACCCCTCCGCCATGTTTAGCCTTGGAGGTATTAAACCTTTTCTTTCTCCTTCAGTTTCTTTCTCCTTTACCTAAGATTTTAAGCCAACAGTAGTTTTAACCAGCTAGGGTATACTCTAACATCATCAGTGGCTGTTTTTTTTTGTTTTCATTTTCACACAAAGGTACCACTATTTGCACTGCTAGGATATTTTAAAGTTCAATTCCTTTAGTATTTTATAGTGAAGTTAAAATAGAGATTCAATGAGTGGAAAGGAAACAAAATTCCCTCTCCATTTAGTTGTTTTTAATTTGATCAGTCTCTAGATCTGAAAGTCAGAAAAACATGAGGCAAACTGATTTATGCTTGGGGGACATTTTCCAACAAGGAGGCAGTAGGGAGAAATCTGGTGAAGGGAAAACTAATTCTGCCAACCAATGAATGACTTGATATTAATTTGTTGTCACAAGTGCAAAAACCAAAACTTTGGAGAAAAAAAAATTCCATTATGCCAACACTCTTAAGCCCTCACCCAAAACTAAAGCTGTGTGAAAACTGGTCTTATTTCCAAAAAACATTTACTGGATTCCTTTTCTGCATGTTTTCATGCTTTTCCTCTACTGTGTGGTTGGCACCTAATTAATTCTTCTGAATATATTTCCTTAGAGTGCTTGCAAATAAAACCGATGCTTTGCCTTCTCTGCCACATTGCAAAAAGAGGTGTTTTTATTAATTGGATCATTTATATCTCTTCTCATTATTTTTTCCTCAAACTCAGCTCGGAAACCAGAACTTAACTGCCAATGTGCTGGAGGTAAATGCTTCACAAACACACAGACAAACCCCACCAGAAGCCTCTTCTTCACGCCCTCCTTCTGTGGTAACTTTTAACCCAACCACTTTTTCACCAGTTGCTGGCTCCAGCCCAGCATCACTTGCCCTGCTACCACCTGCTGATTTGGGGCCTTCACACCTGCAAAGACCCCTGACGTTTTTGCATTGTTTTTATAAACCCCTTCTTCTTGCTCCTGCCTGCCTTATCCACAGCAACGCCACAGGCTCTCTCACTACAGACCTCCCAGGGCGAGCACCCCTCCTGCTCCTCCAGGGAGTACTCCTCAGACACCCCACATGAGCTGCAGATAGCTGACTCTGACAAAATGACTGTTCTGAAACACCTTCCCCAACCTTGGGTCAGCAGTCTGCCATGACAGATGGCATCACTTTAACCATCCCTGCTATCATGCATGTAATTATTCTTCTTTCCTATGCTCCATCATTTTTTAAACAGATCTCCAAAGACCGAAAGGACCAATTTCTTGTCTGCCATCTGATTTTTCAGCCGAGCATTTTTATTTGCATACATGTTGATTCCATCTAAACCGATTCCGTACAGTCTGTTACGGAAATACATTACATTCATCCTCATAAACCTATTTTGGGCTAAAATGGTCAATTATATTCTCTTTATTCATTTTAGAGTCACTTATGTTTACACTGTGTTGCTCTAGCTAATGAGTTGTACAGTGATTTGCCTTAATAAGAAGTTTTCTCAGAAATTTAGATAGGTATACATGGGATGATGACTAGTAGAGAAAGTCTAAAATTTTAATCCAGTATTAAATCCTGGTAGATAACAGTTTACTTCAGAGATTCATATGAATGTGCCCTGTGTGAACAGTTCACATCTCCTTATTTGTCACATACATGATTACTCACTGTATGATGTTAATTCTTCTTGCTCCCTTTTCATTAACAGCTACATCTTTTGAACCCATCTATCCAACAGGAGTGAAAGATGCAAATAACCTTAATCTACATTGCAGAAACTTAGCCCTATGATTTTGTTGGAATTATTTTCCCAAGACACTCCAGTATAGAAATTTATGAATATTTATTGTTTTATATATCAACAATTTGTCTTCCATTTAGAACAATATATAAATATTTCCCATACATATTTATTTCATCTAAATATATCTACTTGGCAAGCAGTCCCTAATAAATGATTTATAAATGCTAAAGTGTTTCAAAATTTTATGGCGCAGATTTTCTATTGCATATAAAGTATAGATAATAGCTTCAATTTGAAAGGCACATAACTTTAGGCAAAATAAAGGGAATTTTTTTCTAAAATTGATTTCATAAGGAAGTTCTAAATATGCATTGTCATAGAGAAAATTTTAGCTGTGCTACATAATTTTTATGTTGCATCAAGGTCATAAATCTGTGAATTTCATGCCTGGAGAAATATTATAAACTATATGTTTTTCAAGACATTGCAATTACAGAAGACAAAAGATACTTTTTAGTATCTTTACTAAATACTTAATAATACTTTAGATGGGCTTCAGTATTCATTCAACAGCTGGGTATAAAACTTTCCCCTGAAACGTTGCATTCAGAGACTAGCTACAGAAGGAACCTCCTTTTCCACGGCTAATACCTCCCCTGTCACTAGTACCTGGAGCGCAACAGGCATGAGCCTCTCCATGTTCTACCATGCTTTCAATAGTTCTTTACTTTTAAAACTCTAAGGAATGCCTTTACCCAAAAATACAAAGCAGTGATAGTGTATTAATTTATGTACTAGCCTATTTGATTTACTGTTTCTAAGACTCTTCAGGAGCCTGAGAGGCATACATATAGCTTTGTGGAGCCAACTGTAACTGAACCTAGTTTCAAGTAACAGTTTAAATTGCACATACCTTCTCCATGAGATGGTTTTCCTAATAATTATTTCACTATAATAATAAAGTATTTTCTAAAATTCTAATAGTATTATTTCATTAGTAAAATCCTAATTGATTTAACATGATGAAAGGCTAAATCTATCTGCAGCTTTTATTTTGTTTAACCCATAACCAATATTATTGAAACCATCAAAATAGGAGGCAGGGCAACTTTTCTAAGTTTAGTTACATAGTAACATGATAGTTTTTACTAAGAAGAATTCTCCTGCCTTTAACATTAATTATAACAATAATATTTAAATTATATTTACAAAGATCAACCAAACTGGATTTGGGCAAGGAGGCAAAAATAGTCTCGAATAATTCATCAACGATATATATAAGCACTCTGAAGCATTTGGGTACATCAGTGCATCACACTTATCTGAATGGCCAGTGCTCTAGGGTAGATGACCCTCAAGATGGGGTTGCTAATAATGATTTCTGTAACAGCTCAGAGCAGTAGTTCATCATTAAGCACAATCATTGTAATGATATGCTTACTGACTTTAGGACAGGTGTGGTATGGCTATAAAGTAATGAAACTAGATTAATTCTACATTATTTGAAAACATCTGCTTTAAAATGAAAAATCATGGAAATGTGCAATTAATTGACTACCTATGTTTCAGGCCTATATGACAGAAGTTTAATTTGTTTTAAAATAAGCAGATAAAGGTCACAAATTATGGTTCTTTATCTATGTGCCTATGTGTGTTTTGTGTGTATTCAGCTGTAAGGTGTTTGAACTAAATGCTCTTACTAATGTTTTATCTTATTTGCATGCATTATACAATCTCCACAATGCTCAGTGCTATGTTGTGGACAGACAGGCATGCTTAATAGTGAGCTCCACCTCTCTAACTGAGCTGATTCAATTCAATGAGAATATGTATCTATTGAATATCTACTATCCTATTAGCACCAGGTTGCATGTTATACAGAAAAATATGTTTAAAAAGCATATATATGACCGTCTTCAACAAGAATCTTGAAATACCACTGGGGATATGAAAATACTCAAATATAAAGCAATCAAAACAATAAATTATTAAGGGATCAAAAAGAGGCCTATAACGTGCTAAATGAAACATGAGTAGGAAGAAGCCGGGGGGTTAACACCACTTTCTGATGCTTTGCCAGGTATTTGATTCTTCCAGAATAGATTGCTTCATGACATATATAAATCCAAACAATTGTCCTCCTTATGTTAGTCACCTTGCCCTGGAAACCTTGATCCGCTACAGGATTCCCTGATTAAGTCTGAGAACCGATCACTTTCCTCTTGTCAAAGAATGTTCTTTTAAAATCCTACACCCAGAGCAGTGTGATTTAAGTCACGACATTAGAGCAGATTCACCCTCCACGTTTACTTTATACTGGCTCCTCTGATATCTTTGGACATCACTGTTGGCAGAGCAATGTGCCCACTGGTCAGCTGCTTCCATTCTCCTAATCACCTCCTGTGCCCTCTGACATATAAAGAGAGTGATTTTCAGAGTAAAGAAGATAGTGAAGACACTGAAAAAAAAAGTCCCATGCCCTTCTCGACATCAGTTAGTAAATAAATACTGGACAGCTGCTTACTGTCATTTGAATGGAAGCCATTATTGTCATCTAAAGGAGTGATGTTTACAGGGGACCGTGTGCTTTAACAGGATGTCTTTGCTTTCTCAGAGCCAGATAACGCTGAATGGAAACTCTGGAGGCACTGTGAGTCCACTGAGTTACTATCAAAGGCCGTTTTCCCCTTCTGCCTACTCGCTACCAGGCTCACTCAATTCAAGCATTATCATGCAGCATGGCCGGTCACTTGGTAAGTCATCTGATAATCATGATTTCCATGTCAATTTCAATATAACAGGTACAAACCAAACGAGAAAAATATAAAGCATCCAAGTAATTTTTGGAAAAGGAAGCAGAAACATTCAATACTCCACTATTTAATGAGCCTCTCCTAGGGGAGGAATTAAAGGCAGAGGATTTAACACTGGAGAAAATGGGGACCCGGCTATTCCAAGACAACGACTGCATCTATATCTGAGTCTGGAGAAGGCTATTAGATATTTGGGGTGATGGGGCAGAAAGAAAAAGATGGCCAGTTGGGGAGAGGAGTGTGCATATATACCAGGAGAACATTCATGTAGTGAATTTCCATGGGTGGCAAATACCATCCATGTTCGAGACAGCCCTTTCTTTTGTGGAAAAGCTTTCATTGTAGAAAATTCTTTTAATATATATAAAGAAGAACTATTTAACAGTTAAAACAGTTTAACAAGGGGATAGGCTGCCTCCCAAAGTAGTAAACTACTATTCAAACTGAGACCAGAAGACCACCAGTCAGGGATGTGAGTTCCTTTAAATAATGATGCAGAATTTTATAGAAAGATAGTTCTTAATCCTTTGGGAATTAAGAACTAAATGAAGGACAGAGCTCTCCTCCCCCACAGAAAAATGAACATTAGAACATACGTATAAATTTTTAAACATATGATTTCATGGCGCTTATGAACTCTTTAAAGCTTCCTGGAAAAGAAGCTGTGCTATATAATGTTAGAAATATTTTTATGCAGCAAAATATATTAGGACAATTTAGAAAATAATGTAATAAATATTTCTTAGTTTTTGAAAATGCAAAAAAACCCAACCAAACAAACATTGAAAAACAGACCAAATCGAACCATCACCTGAATTCAAGCTGAGAAACGTTCCATGTTGAGCAACTAGAAAGATTGCAGGGCAGCAAGAAACAGGGAAGACGGCGGAGGACCATGTGACCACAACATACCTCTCAGAAAAGCAGGAGACCGATCCTCCGGCCACCACCAACCAGCAGAGAGAAAGAAACTAGAACACAGGGCTTTAACTCCCATGTCCTCGTTGACAGCAGACAGCGCCTTCTCCTCCCGGACACTGTGTATGGAAAGAAGATGAGGTTATTAGTTTACCCAGGAACACCCAGCCTATGGATTGTGGAATTCAACTTCTATGGCCAACAAAACCTCTCTAAGACTTACATGTAGCCATGAGACTCAAAGAAATATCTAAATATACTTGCACCTTCTCTAAGGCTGCTCCTGGGATCATCTGTGAATCTGATAATGATGTCCCTTTATAGTATAAGAGAGTAGAACGTCTTTGTGCCCAAATACTGCCCTTATATAATCAGCCCCTGGTGTAGTATTATAATAGGAGTCCATTATGTCTAGATTCTTTATGGAGCTATGCATGATTACACATCTATAGTAAAACTCTACAAATTATCCTAGCCATAATATTTTTCCAAATAATTATTAGCAAAGTTGGACTCTGTCCCCTTTGTCTGTCTTAATGAACACAGTTTTGTCCCTCCCACCCCAACAAACAAAATATATAAATACTTAAGTATGGACAGGCTTTTATATTAGAACATATCAATGGGTGGATTTTACATATAAACTATACTACAGAGAAAGAAATTCTGTAGATAAATACTGAACAAATTCCAATTGGCCAGTGCTGAGATAGGTCCTGAGGAATATATACAAATCTATTCTGCCCTAGAGGAACTTTATAAAGTTGAGGACAAAGCTGCAAAAATGAGAGTTAGTGGACCATATAAGAGCATAATAAAATAAAAGGCTAACTTGTAAGCTGTAAGTTCATAGAATCTTATGACCCACGTATGAAGAGAGTTAACACTGTTTGTTTAGGCTAGGCCTTTGCAAATACTCAGTGCTCAAAAAGTGTTTGATAGAAATACTAGCATCACGGTTGCCCACTCAAATCCTTTCTGTAATTAAATGGAAAATCAGAGTCAAATATCACTTTGCATCTTAATTCAGAGTTGCTTGGAAAAGATACTACATTTACATACAATGGCATGTAAAGCAGTTGTATCCCTAGCCTTATTCATTCTTCATCAGAAATGGATTGAAAATGCTTTTCTGTTGCAAACTAAAACACAGTCATAGTAACAGCAGTTACAAATATTATAATGGATATTAGTCTACAAAGGTCTTATCTCTACTTATCCTTATAATGATGAGTTAAATTTTTTAAAAATCTTATGAAATTTTGTATAAATTTGCTACAAAAACACAGTCATATCTTTTTAGATGTCTATATCTATATTTATATCTATACCTATACGTAATCAATGACTGCTGCCCTGACATAAGGACTTTTCCATATGCACATAAAAAGAGACCTGACTAACAGATCTGACAAACCATGGCCAAGAGTCATTCTTGGTCAGCAAAATTTTGAAATTTATTGTAGAAAAACAGGAGGTCATATTATCAATTGTACTAAATACATGATAATGTAGATTTTCATAAATACCTGTAAACTCTAAGTGGAATATAGAGTACACCTATGTCCTCTCTGTTTCTTATGAAAGTATACCAAAAATTAACGAAGATGGCATGAAGAGCATGATACATCTCAGTCACAATGTATGCTTAGGGCAATTTTCACATCCAAGGGGTGAGAAGTCATGGTTTTTGCTACTTTAAAGTAAAAGCGAAGCTACTTTACTTTAGTGGCCATCATGGAGTCTTAAATAAACCTTAATATTAATAGTTTATGATCATTTCTCTACCCATAAGCCTTCACATCCAAGTATATGTTTGGATGTGAAGATTTCCTTATGTGATTTTTGTTTTCACTTTATTTTTATAAAATCACTGTCATAGACTCAATAGTCATATTTTTCATCCTAAAAGTACACTTCAGTACTTTAAGATAATGGTAGTCAGCAGTTTCACCAAAATAATAGTAATGTAAATGATGAGCTGAAGGAAATTACTAAACTTGTCTCAGCTTCTGCCCCCTCATTTATAAAATGGATCCCTCACCCAAGATTACTAGAAGGATAAAATGAAGTAATGCGGGCTTCCCTGGTGGCGCAGTGGTTGACAGTCTGCCTGCCGATGCAGGGGACACGGGTTCGTGCCCTGGTCTGGGAGGATCCCACATGCCGCGGAGCGGCTGGGCCCGTGAGCCATGGCCGCTGAGCCTGCGCGTCCGGAGCCTGTGCTCCGCAACGGGAGAGGCCACAACAGTGAGAGGTCCGCGTACAGCAAAAAAAATGCTTTCTTAACACAGTGGCTGCCACGGGGCCGCATGGTCTTTCAACAAATATTATTCTTCCCCTTCCCCTCAACACTGAATGATGATGATCTTGTTGTTAGAGGTCTATTCAATATATACCTACATGTTAACAATGAGTGGCTCAAATTTAAGGTCAATGAGTTAAAAGATATAGTGATGGAAATACACTTTATATTTATTTATAAATATATTATAATATAGTATTATATATTTACATATAACTATGTAATTATACGTAATTACATGTAATTAAATATATTATATTATGGTAGGCATGAGGCTCCATTAATTTGATTCCTCGTGCATCAAGTATATTTCACCAAATTTTCTCCACAGATTCCTCAGAGACATACCCCCAGCATGCACAGTCTCTGGACGGCAGCATGGGCAGCTCGATACCACTGTACAGATCCTCAGAGGAGGAGAAGAGAGTGACAGTCATCAAAGCGCCGCACTACCCGGGGATCGGGCCGGTGGATGAATCCGGAATCCCCACGGCAATTAGAACGGTACGAAATGCCAGCGCGCCTTGCTCTGGGGCTGTGCACAGGCTCCACAAAGGATGGTTTGTCAATGGCTTTGTGCATTCCTATGCTCTTATATAATGAGGATTGCTCTCCGTGCCATCTGAGTTCTCATGAATATTATGCTGTGTGTGGCAGAGAAAGGGAACTGTCGATTGAAGATAATGACCCAATCTGTTTTTCCATTCCAATTAAAAATCACGAAAAAAAATCACGAAAATTGTGATTCTGTTAAACGATAAAAGTAGGCTTTGTCTGGTTTTACCTTTTCCATGGAGTGTTGGGGCAATAGAAAGAGAAAAAGAAGGAAGAAGAAAATGTGAATTCTTTGGCTGCACTGAATTCCCATGTGCATTGCGAATAAACCGGTGATTTGTTTCTTGAGATGGATGTGTTACCACCAGGAGACTGGGAGCCGTGAATTGGGTGTTGGGCAGCGAGATGATTGGAGGGAAGGGAGTTCATGTCGTGGAAAGGAAAAACTGTCTGAGGAAAATACACATCACGTTGTAGTGTCCCTCGTCAGCTGTGCCTGCTGAGAGCTCTCCGGGGCGATAAGCGAAAGTGTTTGGGTTTTTTTTTTTTAAGTCTTTAAACTCTGCCAGAACATTGCTCGGTGTTTCAGGGCAGCCCCTTCTGGCAAAGTTCAGCAGCAGCAGAGGCTGAGCTTGGGCAGGCAGCTGCTTGCTGATCCAGTCCACTTGGAGAGGAGGTCTGTGCTGGCCTGCGCGAAGGAATACTGGGGGCGCCAGGATGAGAGCGGCAGCACCTCTGCAGGTGAAACTGGGGGGTGGTGAGAGAAGGGAGCGCCGACTGCATACACTCGGTCTGCAACACCCACGTATGCGGCTGGGCTGGTGCCGAAAGCTACTGGCCTGGAAGGCAAACCTGGGGGGCCAAAGACAAGGGTGGAGAGAGGAAAAGAACCGGCAAGAGATCAGAAAAAGAGATCAGGGACGATTGGAATCGCTCAGAAAGAACGAAAGACAAAGACTGAGGGTCTCTTGTCTCCTTGGATTTGCATTCATCATATGGGGATCCTGTGTTCGGAGAGGAGAGTTGAAACTTGATTATTCCAAGCATCTGTATTAGAATTGGAAGCCAGAAAGTAAATCTGTAGAGCAGTTGCTGGGGCTTTAGACTCATTAGATTCTGGGGATGTTGAATGTGACTAATTATAAAGTCCTAAAAATCTCTGTTGGAACCAATGATTGTCATATTTAAGTGACAGGAAGAGTTCAGGGATTGTGACTAACATTCTTAATCTTACGGTGGCTGCATGTTTCCGGTGGTGGCACTCTGTTGTTTGTTTCTCTTTTAAGATTTCTGACTCAAAATGGTTTAATTTGAATTTCTTTTCCTAATAACGTAGGGATACAGTGTCAGACAGGTATAGTGTCACTAGTTTTGTTTAATTGACCCTTGAGAAATTAGGAGATCCCTGATTCTGTGTAGTTATAGATTGTCTGATTTTTATCTGAGACCTCTAGGTATGTATTTAAGTCAATATATGATAGACACAAATGGACATGCAAAGCTGGAACTGTCTTTATCCATAAGATATGATTTTCTTAAATAGCAAGACCTTGCTTTTTACGTTTTAAAAGGAAAAAACTGAGATGTTATAGATGGTTAGTGAAAAATCAAGAAATATTAAAAATTTATATATTTTTAATCTACTGCCAAATCAAAAGCATGTTTAGATATGCATAAACAAATGCAGATACTAGACATTCAATGCAAGTTCCCCCTCTATAAAATAGAAAATAAAAATATAAGCAACTCAGAAGTTCCTTATAAGGAACCAGCATTTTTATGTACAGCTGTGCTCTTATGTAGACTGTTCAAAGTTTGCAGAGAAGGTACAGGTCTGAAGAGTCATTCACATTTCTTATCTGTCAGCCCCACAGAGCACATCCCCAAGTATAGCTGTGTTTATAAATGTGTAGTCTCGCCATGTCTGAGCCACGGCAGGCCAAGAATCTCCAAGGCTGTTTTTCTTTCTCATCCGCATAGAAAGTAATGATTATCAGATTTACATTGCTTCACAGGGGCTTTCTGCTCAGTGTACACACCAAAGGCAGTACTGTCCCAGTGTATCATCTCAGGGTCTCATTTTAGACAACCAGCATAGACCAAGGAAACAGAATTTCAAAAAGTAACATGGAAACTCTAAAAAGCCAAGAATTAACCAAATGTACCTTTGAGCTATCTGAAGAAAGGGAAGCAGCTCCCAGGCTGCCCTCTCTCATGCGACCTGGGACGTCTATGTTAGCCTTCTACTGCCATCCTTAAAAACAACAACAACAAAAACCGCTAGGGTTCAGATCCCACGAGACTGTGTAATTAAGGTGAGTAGTTAAGTGAAATGTAAGATTCTTTCCTTCTAGTTCAAATATAACACCGTTTGAGTCTTTTCCAAGCTGGAAAGGGGCAAAAATAGAATAGAATAATGTATACTGGTGTACATTCTTATTGCTTGGAAATATTAAACAGTAATGAAAGGAACCAAGATTTGAATCTAGGTTGATCTGACATTAATCTCAGCTTTCCACTGCAGCCTACTGTTTATATTATGTCAAAAGCGGGGTGGATAAGGAGCTTCTGCTTTTAAGGAACTTACAGTTTAGTACAGCAAATGCTGCCAACATTTTATTATCACGTTAAAGAAATTTTGAAACAATATCTATATTTTGTGACTTGCTCTAGGACACTAGATTGTTTACTATAGCCAGTATTTTAGTAACTTAGACTAGTAAATACCAAATTTTTATTTCTCTAATTCTAAGCTGATGATCAGAATACAATTCGAGTCCAAAATATTCCCTAGTTAATTTTTAAAATAATGTCTTGAACACTATACTCACTAACAAGTTATTATGGATAATGATAATTATCACCAAAACTGTAGAAAATATGTGTCTTTTCCCTTTTTGGAAATCTCTGCACGATAAATCAATGTAGAGTTCTGATGTTTTGTAAACTACAGGAGTGTAAAATTTCAGGTTTATTCAGCCAAGTTATAGAAAACAACCAAATAGTGATTTACTAGTAGTTACTGCCCATGCAAAATCATTTTGAAGAACAAATACAGAAGTAAACTTCCTGAAATTTGAGTAGACTTCCGTTTACCTAATCTCAATGTTTGCCATAACAACCTACATGGTGGCATTTCTAAAAGGGACTTTAAATGCTTAGAGGACTTCTTTTAGAAAGGGACATAGAGTTTTAGTATTCCCATTTACCAGTTTCACATTCCTCTTTGCCAAGCAACTTGGGCATTTCCTGGCATCTCTGTGCTCACCATATAAAGCTAGCAGATGGCACAACAGAGATCCCGCCAGATATGTGCCCTCCAGCAAGTGAAGGAAAAACTCCTGTCTGTCAGGATGCATTGCCATATACAGAGATACAACTCACTTATTCAGCTTCCTCGTTGCCATTGGTTGTGTCCAGGTATGGCTGGGAAACATTTTTACACAAAGTTATGTCTTTTTTTTATTGCTAAAGACTGCAAAGGAATTAAAGCTTAATGAAAAACAAATCCATCTTTTATGAAAATAAGTGTCCCTTAAAGATACATGTTCATCTACTTTGTTTAGCCCAGCAAATAACAGCCACCATTTGAGTATAAAGTCCACCAGTGATCCACTCAATATTTCCATTGTAGAAAGAGCCTAGAATGAGTGAAGAAGTGATTCCCAACAAAGTCAATTAGCCCTTGATGTTACTCTGTATTTGTGGTGATTACCAGAATCATATATTCTTAGAGATCAAAATAAGTCTAGATATAGCACAAAACCCTCAATTTCCAGATGGAAAACACGATGACCACATTGGAAAGAAAAATCAGGATATAAAATCTACACCAAAGCTCAGTCTAACAAATACAAGAATATTTTTGTGGCCTTCCTAACAGAATATTTTCTATGAAGAGAACTGCCTCGAAAAATCTGTATATTTAGTCACTATATACAGAATGGTCAAGTTTCTTACCAGAATAACCCTGGAAGAGTTAAAATGAAGACACTCCAAGCAAAATCTTGAATTATGATTATAAAGGCATATGTCCACTTTCACAGGTATACGATTAGGTAGACTTCCATCCAATAACCTGGATTCATTCATTGTTTTATTCTGTAAATATCTGAGGTTTCCTACTGTTATGATTTATTGAGCATTTCTTATATTCTAGGCATTGTTCTAGGTCTTTTTGTATACACTGTCTCTTTCAATTTCCATAACAATTCTACGATGTGGATATAATTATTTCATCTTAGAGAAGAGAAAACTGAGGCCCTAAAAGGTTACCTCACTTGCTCAAATTCTTATTGCTTGGAAGTATTAAACAGTAATGAAAGGAACCAAGATTTGAATCTAGGTTGATCTGACATTAATCTCAGCTTTCCACTGCAGCCTACTGTTTATATTATGTCAAAAGCGGGGTGGATAAGGAGCTTCTGCTTTTAAGGAACTTACAGTTTAGCACAGCAAATGTTGCCAACATTTTATTATCACGTTAAAGAAATCTTGAAACAATATCTATATTTTGTGACTTGCTCTAGGACACTAGATTGTTTACTATAGTCAGTATTTTAGTAACTCAGACTAGTAAATGCCAAACTTTTAGTTCTCTAATTCTAAGCCGATGATCAGAATACAATTTGAGTCCATAATATTCCCTAGTTAATTTTTTTTTTTTTTTTTTTTTTTTTTTTTTTTTTTTTTTCTCACTTTTGTGGCCTCTCCCGTTGCGGAGCACAGGCTCCGGACGTGCAGGCTCAGCAGCCATGGCCCACGGGCCCAGCCGCTCCGCGGCACGCGGGGTCCTCCCGGACCGGGGCACGAACCCGCGTCCCCTGCATCGGCAGGCGGACTCTCAACCACTGCGCCACCAGGGAAGCCCCCCCTAGTTAATTTTTAAAATAATGTCTTGACCAGTATACTAACAAGTTATTATGGATAATGATAATTATCACCAAAAGGAGCGAAGCAAACAATTATAACACTATAACTTTTATTCAGTTAATTTTATATAAATAAGCTTGCACAAATATCAACTACCTAGGGCTGGGCACAGCTGTGACCTGGAAGAAATAAAACCATAGCGTGTAACATTCCAACTCAGTCTCCACTCAAACAAAGGGTAATGTATTTACAAATGGCATGTATCCCTGGATAAATTACTGATATGTCATCATGACACAGTAAAGAGTCAGAACAGAAATCTTCTATTTAAAAAGATATAATATACAAAGAGGAACAATGTTTATTTGGAACCAGTTTTGTAACTGTTGGACATTTTCTTTTACAGACAGTTGACAGGCCAAAGGACTGGTACAAGACCATGTTTAAGCAAATCCACATGGTGCACAAGCCGGGTATGTAGTTCTGTTTTCTGATCAGGTCCTTGTGGGCTGAAGGATGTACACTCTTTTGTGTAGTTTTCGTTCACACAAACTGTCAAGACCCCAGCAAACTTCATGGCCCTTCCTTCTTTTCAACACTCCTCCTTATTCTTAGAGCACCCCTCAACTCCCAGACACCCGCAATGCTGCTTCACCCCTGAGCCGCCAGGAAGCCTCTTCATCCTTCCCTATCCACAGTATAAACTGCTGGCGTATTATCTGCTTAAACAGACACATTATTCCTCTGTCCAGGTGCATCTGCCCCATATCAAGACAGTGACTGTAGCTGGGTCTCACTGAGTTGACAAGGGATCTTTAAAGCACTTACTAAAGGAAATTCATGATCCAGGACAGGCAGAAAGGAGGAAGAGGGACTGATATCTGTATGCTGTGAAGTGGGCAGCAGAGCAAACCTGTTAACAGCCCAGAGAAGTCAATTTGCAAAGTGTCAGCAAAAAAAAAAACAACAAAAAACAACAGAAAAATAAAAACCCTCATAATATTTGAAAATTTAAAAATGGTTTAATGAACTAGGCAAAATGTGTTGGTTTTCTAACAAATCTGTTGTTTCTCTGAAGTTCTGCTATCTTGTTAGGATGTGGTGACCAATCTGTATTACCATAATATTTATGTTTCATTTTCTAGATGATGACACAGACATGTATAATACTCCTTATACATATAATGCAGGTAGGATGGGTTTCCTTGCTTGCCATGACTACACTGTGTCCTCCCATGCTTGGAAGAACTTCCCAGTCATTTTTTTTTTACCACTCTGAGTGCACGATTTCAGTCTCTACAATTAGGAAGATGCTTTTTTTCTTTTCTCAGCATGTATAACGAAAGATTTGATCTTTTCTCATGGAAATGAGAACTAATACTATTTTATCTCCTTCATCCCCACTGTTAGTTTATTCTCGGCTTCAGGAATGTTTAACCAAAGTGTGAAGGACAGCAGGAAAGAACATACTGTAACAGGGGGTACAAAATAAGATAAAGATCTCCTTTTATCAGTAGAGAGAATGATTACAATTGCGTAAGATCTTTCAGATACACTTCACCAAAAACAAGTCAAGCAAGGTATTTTGTGACCCTGTCCATGCTTTTGCTCCAAATGCAATCATTTATTGAAGGATTTTTAAACATCCCAGTTTGCTGGACCACTTTTCTGACTCAGAGTTGCCAGCGGTCATAATGGAACGACTTCAATTCCAGGCATTTCCACTTGAACTTGAGTGAGTTGGTATCTTGTGAAATGGTTGCAGGCTGGAGTGAGGGACCCCTGAAAAATGTTTCCATCATCGCTTTCTCCTAAATGTCACATCAGGGGACCCCACACAGGGCCGCCTGTCACTTCCCGGCCCCAGGCTCAGTACGATTGCACAGTGCCTGTTACTGCCTTCTGTAGAGCAGTCTCCGAGGCCCACGTCCCATTCAGCAGCTGCAGCCTCCCATCGAGGCCCCCTTGCCAGCCACACCCCCAAAAGGGATGAGGTTGTCCCCTCCACGAGGCCTGAAGGCCAGCACTCAGGCCTTTTCACTGTTGAGGATTCTGCTACTAGTGTCCGACGACAAGTAGAAGGAAAAAAACAAGCAGAACGGGCTCAGCAAGCTGCAAGAATCTGGTTTTCAGTCCTCGCTCTTCCAGACGGCAGCAGGTGGCCTGCTAAGATTCCCTCAACTTTTATTCCCGGTCTCAGGTTCTCCTAACTCCTCTCCTGTGTTTCGCTTGTTAAAATGCAAAATTCAACTGAGAAAATTTTAAAGATCTTCTTGGCTTTATTAAACGATTCATGAATCAGGCAGCATCCAATCTAGCAGACAGAAAGGAGCTCCGAGGAGCTGAACAAAACGAAAGGCTTTCAATAGGCAGAAGGGAGCAGGAACAGGAAAGTTAGACTAAGAAAAACAGCGGGTGGGTTACTGCAAGGTCACTTTCCCCGAGGGGAGGGCAGGGGGCTGTCAGGCAGAGTATCTAACTCCCGCTGGCCAGGCCATTCCTGATGGACGGCTTTAAGATTCCATTTCTGGCAGAGTCAGAACTGTAACTAAGTTAAGTCTCGGTTTGGTGCTGTGGGGCTTAGCACAAGCAACTCCATTTTGGGTCTGCTGTTTCGTTCTGAACAAGCGCTCAAGTTGAAGTCTGACTGTAGCACTGAGGCAAAACAGAAGTGCAGACACTGTCTCATTTGTCATAGCCAATTTGCATGGACCTTCAGGAGGAGCAGATGAATGAAAATAGACTTAGCTCAAAAGATTGAGGTGGCAGGAAATTCAGAATTTTTTTTTTCAGAATTTTTATAATTATTTTTCATATTGAAGTTTGCATCCATTAGAATTAGTCAACTGAACGGTAGTTACATTTAAACTTGCAGAGCCCTTTAGAGTTTTACCATTTAATCGGCAGACAAAGCAACTCTGATTAGTCTCTTCCCCTCCTACTAACCTTACATCGCGCTGTTCTATGCCTTGCACTTTCTGCTGCTTTTTTTCCTCTGCCATCTCCGCTGCCCTCTTCCCCGGCCCACCCAGACCAATCCTTCAGGGCTCACTCTAGTGTCATCAGTTCTGTGATATATTCTCTGACCAATCACCATCTTCTAAAATCTTTAATGCCTCAAATATGTTTTCCTCATGCGGCCTTTATCATATGCTACCAATTATTTTCAGTCATAATTCTAATCACATCTCTTTTCCCCAGATGTGCTATAAGCTTATTGAGGGTTGATGTTTCCTTATGCCTTGCACCGCATGTATTTAACTTGCTCAATATTTTGTTTGATTGCAATTAACACGTCATTATCATATGCAAATCAGAGCTTTTAAAGTAATAGAAGATATTTGGAAACAGTTCTATTAAGTATTTTTAATCTTCTTCTAAAATCTTAACTACGATATTAGTTTACACTATCCACGAGAAAATTTGCTAAGTATCTGTAAGTTTGTTTCTAGTACCAGTTGGAATTATTACTAATTCCATAATAATTGATGAGGATTCACTGTAACCAATGCTCGTGCATGCAATCCATTAATGAATTAATAATGATTAATAAATTAATAATATTAATAAATCAAGAGCATACCATCCAATGCATGCATTGTGAATATGTTTACTGATAATAATCTTGGTAAAATCATGGGGTATTTTTGTGGGGTATAAATAATGTAATGCACTTTCAAAATGTTATTTGTTTCTGTTCTGTTTTTGTTTTGCTGTGTTGTGTTTCGTGATAGGCCTGTACAATTCACCCTACAGTGCTCAGTCACATCCTGCTGCCAAGACCCAGACCTACAGACCCCTCTCCAAAAGCCACTCCGACAACGGCACTGACGCCTTTAAGGATGCTTCCTCTCCTGTCCCTCCCCCGCACATTCCTCCTCCAGTCCCACCACTTCGACCAAGAGATCGGTCTTCAACAGAGAAGTAAGGCATTTTCCCCTGAAGTGTCCTGTATTTAGCTTAGGATAAAAATAAGCCCACAGGGCATTCAGCAGAAGAATCACTGCTTACCTTTCTGAGATAGTATATGTATAGTCTTATAAAGGTGCCATGTTCACCTCTTCTATCAAGAGTGTAGCGAACACTTTCACAATATTGGTTCATAATATCATGGTCACCTGAGTTAGACTTGAAGTAACTGAGCATCATCTCCACTCTTTGATCAATAAATGCATATGGGGCTTCCCTGGTGGCGCAGTGGTTGAGAGTCCGCCTGCCGATGCAGGGGACACATGTTCATGCCCCGGTCCAGGAAGATCCTACATGCCGCGGAGCGGCTGGGCCCGCGAGCCATGGCCGCTGAGCCTGCATGTCCGGAGCCTGTGCTCTGCGGCGGGAGAGGCCATAACAGTGAGAGGCCCGCATACCGCAAAAATAAATAAATAAAATAAAATAAAATAAATGCATATGAGACAAATAAATAGAAATAACTGACACTCCCTTTGGCATAGCAGGTCAGAGACTATGCAGTTAATTTTCAGTTTCCTCAGATTTGAAATGTTAGGACTATTAATGATTTAAAATTTCCCCTCTGATCACAAAAGTATCTTTTTAAAAACAGAAAAGGTTATTCATAAATCATAAGTAAGGCATTAGTTAATGTGTCTACCTGTGACTCATTTCCACACACTAATTTTAATTTCCCCACTGAAATATTTTTATAGAAACTATTCAAACAAAAATAAAAATTTATAAACACACTTCTATTGGGCCATTTATATTAGGATAATGACTAATAGTACCACTTATAGGTAACCTTCATTGAGACCTCACTATGAGCCACTAATCTAAGCACTTTTCCTGTATTATATTACTTAATTCTGAGAACAACCCAATGAGATATGTTCTATTTTAAACCCATTTTAGAGAGAGAGAGAAAAAATAAGCTGTGGCTTTGGAAATTAAAGTAAGTTGCTCAGCTCATGCAGCTACTATGTCCAAGCCAGGATTCACACTCAGCTCTAACTAAAGCCATAGCTCATGCTATACCAGCAATAATAAATAAGAATATAAGAATTATTCAGTATTAATATGGTTATTAAGCATCCATCTGTCATACCCATCCCAGAAATATTATATTCAACGCCCTGTTGTACCATTAAAAGTAACTGATCATATAGGGTATAAGATACCACAAAGATAGACATACATTATGTGTGAAAAGTTCTCATTTTAATGCCCGTCTCCTCATGATGATTATGTGTTTATAGGTGTTATGTCTTAAATTTGAGAAATAATTGTCTAGACACAAAATACTATCTCTGCCATAAAAAAGAACCAAAATGAACTCAGATTTAAATGTATTTTGTCCTATATGTCTAGTAAAAATAAATCTTTCATTGAGAAACACGATAATCCCTTAAAATTTTCTAGAATGTTTTCATATACATTGTCTTATGTGATGCTCAAAGTACATCTGCTGAATATTGCTCATCAATTTACTAGAAAGCCAGGACCTGCCTGCCCCTAATTCTCCTGTCTTGTAGAAACTTCTATTTCCAACATGCATGGAGTCAGAATTTCATCCCACTCTATGGGTCAGAACTGCCCCCACCATGGGACTTTCCTGGTGGTCCAGTGGCTAAGACTCTGAGCTCCCAATGCAGGGGGCCCGGGTTCAATCCCTGGTCGGGGAACTATTTCCGACATGCGCAGCTAAGAAGTTCACATGCCACAACTAAAGATCCCGCATGCTGCAACAAAGATCCCTCACAGGTAACAAAGATCCCGCATGCCACAACTAAGACCCGACGCAGCCAGATAAATTAAAATATATTTTTTTAAAAAAAGGAAAAAAACAAAAGAATTGCCTCCATCTACAGTCAGAAAATCCTTCTTCCTCAAATGTGATCCTCTCAAAGGAAGCCTTCTTCAGCCTCAGCTACCTAGAAAAGCTTTACTTTTGAAGTCCCTCTTTGCCTGCCTCTTGAAGGATATTAGTTCAGGAAAAAGAGCTGATTCCAGGGTCTCCTATGCGATGGAATAGATGCCAGCCTCTAGGTTTTCAAGGGTAAAGCCATGGAGGGTCTCCACTGCCATACAACTTGCTCTTATGGATGGCAACCGAAGTGATACTTTTGCACTTTTCATAGACAAACTATGATGCCACTTGCAAGATAAACAAGATCAAACATGACGTGTACATTACTCCTTGTCACTTCGGATCAAGGACGCCAGGTCACAGAGTGATGGGATAAACTCACATAACTTAATGGAGCATAACCGCTACTTCCTCTAAACACAAAAATACACAGCTGCCATTTGTGATCCCCAGAGTTCACCAGCAGCTAACTGGCTGCATTTCTATCAATACAAACCCCTCATGTGAGTTATTGAGCCAGCAGGAGAATAGTCCTTGTATGAAAAGACGTAGAGGAAAATATAATAGGAAATCAAACAAATGGCTTTCTTTAAATCATTTATGAAAAACAGAACACAAATGTGCTATTTTTTTGCATATTAACATTTTATCCTGAGACGCTTTAAAAAAAAGTCTATACTAAAATTAGCTTTGAAAACAGATAATCAGTGGTTTTATACAACAGTTTTAAGCACAGAGAATTACTTTCATATGTAATTTGTTGTTGATTTCTAGGCATGACTGGGACCCTCCAGACAGAAAAGTGGACACAAGGAAATTTCGTTCTGAGCCAAGGAGTATTTTTGAATATGAACCTGGGAAGTCATCCATTCTGCAGCATGAAAGACCAGTAAGCACTTGTCATTAAACAGAATGCCAGTTCTCTAGGTTTCCTGGGTTCCCAAATAAACCTGAATTTCATACCGTTTAGCAATTTTTGAATCACAAAGGTAATTTATTTATTTGGCATTATTTAGAAATCATGTTTATTTTGTATCATGATTTGTGTATCTTATCTCAGAATTAAAAATACAGTCTCTAATATATTGTCCCTACTCATCAAATATAGGACTCATTCTCATGTAACTATAAATATGCCTAATCATGATCCTGAGTTAAATTTTAAAAAAAGGAAAAGAACAACTCTCAAATGCAACACTGAATTGCCAGTCTACATTGCTAATGAGAACAATCATTCATCCTCTCTGATACAAATGGACCAGGCAGTTCCATCCCTTGGTTTCCATTTTGGTTTCTTAATATTTCTTTGGCTTAAAGGGAAATTTTCCAAATGTCCTTTGTTATAACAAGTTGTTTTAATTGATTCTTATTAAATCTCCCTCAGGTTACCAAGCCTCAAGTTTCCTGACTGATTGTCAATCTAATGGATCAAGACTATATTTAACTTTGCAGTGTTTCTCCCAATTATATATTTTAATTACATGCAAAGGAAAAGACATAGAAAGTTGAAAATAACCACTTGCCTCCTCAAAGTACAATTGAACAAATAGGCTGTTCCTTGGCCCTCTTTTGCTTTGATTCCCCCAGTCCTTGCTTTCCCTCCTAGATCAATGCCTTCAGGATCTCTTTGAAATTCTATAATTCCTCTGCATCCCCTCTATCAAAACCTGGCTGCAATTCGCTCTTGTCTTTGTCTTAAAAGAATTTTAGGTGTCAGTGAACAGGAAAAAGAGAGTTTTCTTTGTTAGTGCCTTTAAGAGTATCCAAGAAACCACATTATTGTATATAACATAAGGCCAGCCCTGAAATTTGATTAGAAACTGTTGCTCACCACACCCAATATAAGTGTCCTTCATTTAGTTTTTGAAACACTGTATTTATGATTATGTTCTTGAGAAACATGTTCAAAAACCTTATAATCACATAATTTATACAGGATATTTTTCTAAGCCTTCTTTGCCTTTCTTCAGATAACTCATATCTTTTAGAGTAACAGGACTTTACCAGAAAAACTGAAAGAAAAAAAAGGAACACCACCGAACTGCAGGTTCCATTGCAAACATAAAACCCATTCACTAAGTTATATGACTGAATATCATGATCTTTGAAATTTCTAAGATGAGAAGTGGGTGAACCATGATATCACCATTGCATAAAGTTTAAAATAACAAAATAATCATGCAAAATAATGAGTCAGATTTAAATGTAAATAACGAAACATTAATGATCATTCTAACAATGTCTGAGACTCTTAGGATGCTGGGGGATGTCACTGTCCTGGAATGCTTTTGTATCTGTGATGTCAGGAAACAGGATTGATTTTGGAAGCAGTCCCGTCAGGATATTTCTAGTATTTACTCATGCAGCAAAACCTGTGAAGCCCCACCTATGTGCCAGGCATCGTACTACGTGTGAGGGACACGGCAGTGAGCAAAACATAGTCTTTACCTCAAGGAACTTGGAGTCTATCATTTAATCAATATGCAGAGTAGCGCCACATTTGTGAGAAGTAGACCATCTCCTGTATGGTTAAAACGGAGACACACCAAATGAATTCGCCCCATCAAGAGCTTACTCACAGGCCCGTCATTGTGACTGAAATTTCCACTTTACTCATGTCTTTGGGTTAAAGCTTTGAAGGCTCCCGGTTTAAAAATAGCAATAATAATAACAGCAGCAATAGCAGTAGTTGTAGCTCCTTATTGAGCACTTACTTATGTGTCAGGCCTTATAATTAGTAATTTATGCCTTATATCATATAATGATCCCAACAACCCTATGAAGTAGATGTATGGAATTCCCGTTTTACAGATAGAGAGGCTGAGCACATATTAAGTAACCTTGCTCAGGTTCCCGTGGCTGGTGAGTGCTGGACCTGGAAGTTGAGCCCAGGCAGACTCATGCCTGGTGCACTTAATCACCACCATACTGCTGCACATCCAGGATTAGCTAAATTGAAAACACATTTAGCTGGTAGTCGTTATCACCTTAATTAGAGTATTTGATTATTTAATTATTTTGCAGTATAAGTTAGTTTATTTGTTCATTTATAATAAATTAATGTACTGGATTTATTTTACCAGCAACCTGGGCCCTGAATAGTTAGGACAGAAGACCAGTATACTTAACTAGCTCTAAGAAGAATGGAAAGATCTGGAATGTGGGTATGGCTGAAGATTTGGGTACGGATGGGTCTCTGCTGCCACAGGAAAGGAGCAGTGGAAGGAACCTAGAAACTTGGAAGGAAATGAAAATGGATACCTTATGAAGAAATGGAAAGAACCAAAATGTTTATCCCTCCTAAACAATTTTGCTGAGGGCCAGCCTTACGCAAAATGATTTGAGCTAATCATCTTTATCATTTTGGCCAGGTTTTTATTATAGGACTCGACTATTATCTTTTCCTTTTCATCAACCCTGAATCCATTCCAGCTGCCTCTCTAAATCAGAAAAACAAAAACAAAGGGCTCAGGGCATGGTGCTGTTGCAGAGAGTGGCTGTATCTTGGTAGAGTTCACGTAAGATTTGAGAGTGTCTTGGACACACATAAGAGAGAGGATAGAGAGCAGGTTTGCTAAATGAGAGTGATGGAACAGCACACAGACAACATGTAAGGACTGCAAGATTTAGGCACCTTCATGTCTTTTTCCTCCAAGACAGTTTGTGAGAATTCCTTTGCTCTTTTCATCTTTAACGTCTGTAAATTATACACCGCCGCTGGGTTGACTGGTGCACTGGCTCTGTTGCTCTTTTGAATTCCGAGATGATGCCACCGTCTGCCCAGTTTTCCCAAGTGTCATCTTGGATTCCCCTCTCCCCAGCCATCTCGAAGTCCTGCCTCCCAGGAGACATGCCACGGCCACTCCTCTCTTCCGGTCCACAATTGTCCATTGCCTATATTAGAATGACACCCACTAACTCTTTTCTCTAATTCTCCAATCTAGTCTCCACACCACAGCCAGGGCAATCTTAGAAAACCTCCTGCTCAAAACTTTCTCCCAGCTCTCAAGTGTCCTTAGAGCAAAATCCAAGTTCCTTAATGTAATATACAAAAAACCTTGTGGTTTGGCCCCCATTTTGACCTCTCCGGCCTCAAGTATCTTCCTGCCCTTCCTGCTTCACTCACCATGTTCCAGCTCTACAGAGAGCTCTCAATCTTCCCCCCATGGACCTTTGCACAGGCTGTCTCTCTGCCAGGAATACCCTCTCCACCACCTCTTTCTTCCTGTGGAAAATCCCATCTTCCCCTTGGCCTGTCTCACTTCCCCCAGGGCACCATCCTGACTACTGGACACTACTGGGGCCAAGCTTCCCCTGCTGTGAGCCCCCCTACAGCACACTGCATTACCCCTCACCACCCTGAATTGTAATGGCCTGTTTACTTGTCTGTGTCCCTCACTAGACTTTAAGCTCCTTGAAGGCAGGGACCCCGACTGGTGCACCAGTCAAATCCCCAGCACCTAGCACAATGCCTGGCACATGGTAGGTGTTCAGTGAATATACACTGAATTAATAGTAAGGGAATGAGTATAGGTTTTACCCTTGCAGTTAGTGGGTAAAGTTGGTGGGACCTAATCCTTGTTCTGTTGCTTATCTATGAAGTCTGTACATTTCTAGTGACAAAAGGCACCATGGGTCTCCATCAAATCACACACGGGGGATTCCACACACTGCTATTAGTAACTGTGGTTCCCGAATTCCATGATTCCCTAGCATACAAAGGGGGTAGAGGAAGAGAAGTCCTCCTCCGACCCTGGCCAAAAGAATTCTCCTCTTCCTTAGAAATCAATGGACTATGCATTTATATTCTTTAACAGGAAAGTAAAAATGAATAAAATTTTTTTTTTTTTTTTTGTGGTATGTGGGCCTCTCACTGTCGTGGCCTCGCCCATTGCGGAGCACAGGCTCCGGACGCGCAGGCTCAGCGGCCATGGCTCACGGGCCCAGCCGCTCCGCGGCATGTGGGATCTTCCCAGACCAGGGCACGAACCCGTGTCCCCTGCATCGGCAGGCGGACTCTCAACCACTGCACCACCAGGGAAGCCCCTGAATACAATTTTTGAAGTGCCTAGATGCTCATTTGACTATAAATTTAGAAATGATGACTAAATGGGCCAAATGTTTGATCTAGAAAAATACTTTGCCATCACCAGGAATTTATCTTAAACTGATTTGAACCGCAATTTATTCCATGAGACAATCATGCAAACTCTCTCCTTGGATTATATTAATAAAAATTCTACAACCCATCTGGGTTGGATATGTTTATAGGTGAACCACATTAAAATAAAATAATATAAATTCAATTAAGCACTTATTTAGGACACCTTTATGCTTGAAAATAGAAAATAATGGGGAGATGTTATCTTCTTCTACAATAATTAAACCTGCACATAATGGTAAAAGTGAAAGAAAAAGCACTGAAAACACAGGGCAGAGTTGAAATGCAATTTAAGCCCTCAGTAAACTTAAGCTTCTTTAGCAGTGAAGAGTGTCACTTAAAGCTTAAGCTATAAAAATTCTGAGACTTTCATCTGTTGGTTTGAACCATAAAAAATTATCCCAACTAACAATGTGTAGAGCATTTACTGTGGTATCTCAATAGATATAAAACATAGCAGCCAATGTCATTAAAGCTTAAAAATCTAATGAGCATAAGTTATAAAGGGACCAAATGATGTTGGCAATTTTTCTGTTCGGAATAGCACATAGAAATCCCATGCCCACAATAAGAATTCTGAGAACAGTAGAATTTTTATAACCTGAAAAGCAACAAAATGCTTTTAAACTGTAGAAAACGAAACTTCAAAAATAGGTTACCTTTAAATAAGAATTGTGTGTGATTTATAATTTTAGGTTTTCTTACTTCCCCTTGAGCTCATGACCCCATGTTCATTGTTAAGCCCAGGTGTGCTGAGTTTTTCAAAATGAAAAGAGATCAAAAGAGGGTAGAAAGAGGGACAGCAGTATCTCTGCTCTTTTGTTGTCTTTTATGAGCATGATCATGCTTCCTAAATGAGTTTCTGAATGTTAACATTCATGTTGAACGACTAAAAAACTTTCAAGTCACTCATGGAAAGTGCTGATTTAGTGAGATCATTAGTATGTCTGTCTGTCTGTTGGCTGACCATCTGAATGTGTATCACTGACTTTTGTGAGGCCTCTGTGTACCTTAGAGTGACTCAAGATTGCTACATAATACATTTAATTGTTCCCTGACTAAAGGGATTCAAAAGGTCAACTACAGCATATAGAAAATTCTAGTTCTGCCACTTACCATTTCTTTACCATCGAGGCTCTGCTCAAGCATGTGCCTTTCATTAAGTTCCAAAGTTATGGATAATTACCAATTATCCTTGCGGGGGTTTTCTCTTCTAACTTCTATTGGCATGAATTCTAGACAGTTGCCCATTGAGACGATAAATTGAAGTTTTAATCTACAAAATCATAATTCATGGGAAGTTGCCATTCCAAGGTAGGGTGCAGGATGGTAGATATTCTGCTCCCTTTTCCATAGTCTATCATAGAAATAGATTTCTATAAATCAGGATTTAGTATATTTGTTTGTTGTATCTATTTTTTAAGGTGGAAATCGAAGTGAAGTTGTAACCAAATATACTTATTTGTTTGGCCCTCTACATTTGCTGCCCTCTACTGTTCAAAATGTTTTTTAAACAAATGTATCCTCTAAGAGAAGTTTCTATCTCCCCTTAGCAAAATAAAGTACTGTACATGAAAACAGAGATTATAAAATCAAGAATTAGTAATATTATTAAGGATATAACATTAGAAACAGTGAGATTTGAAAAAGCCAAAGATTAGTTTTCCTGTGGAAGCAGTCCTGGGTCTCTACAGACAGAACAAAATTACTGGAAAATTCTCTCTAGTGTCAACTACCTTAAATATCAGCTCCAGCCAAACTATTCCACAAAATACCTACATACTGCAGCTATAATCTAAATGATGATTGGAGAAAAACAGTATTTCAGTACTATCAGAATCTCAATTACCACTTTTGCACTATTGAACCAGAGATAAATTGAAACAAATTTTTTAATTAAACAGAAAATGGTAAATTAATTACCAGAATATTTTCTATCAATTTCACTGTTACTTCTGAAATGTAAAACCAAATATAATGTTGACTAAGTAAGAGAATATATCTCAAAATTTCTGCAACATTTCTCATAGTAATTATACGATGTTCCCCATAACATTATAAAATATAATAATATTTTAAAAGAAAGAACAGAACAATCTCAATACTGTGCTTGTCCAGACACAGGCTTTGTGACACCACCACAACTATTATCATAGTCTGTTTTTAATCCCCTAGTGCTTCACGGTAAACATGTCACAGGGCTGTTACATGGCCTTTATCATTATGGTCACCACATATTCTGGATACCATAGGCCCTTTCGCTCTTGTGTTATCATGTCTCAAACTTTTCTATCACTGCCTGTAACTACTATTATAATCTCATAAAATATTGAAATAAAAAGCACATCTCTAAAAAGACTTTGGATATAATTGATTATTAAATACAGACTGTGTGTTATTAACAAAATTATTGGGAATGCAACAGGCCAACAAAACACTCGGACAAGCTAATGTCAAATAATGGCTTTTGTTTGAATATGGCATATCTCAAAGCACCCAAGATCACAAGGTTGTAGAGCATTTCTTCTGGAGCTGAGATGTAGTTACTCCATGGAGGTCCTTGAGTTCTTTAGGAACTGGAAGGGAATGATACAGATCTGCTCTGAGGCCATGAGCACGTCATATAACTCCTGGAATATGTCCTCTCCTGGCCCAGGTGAATGGCTTTTAGAGAACTGGAGTTTTTTAATTTTTCCCCGACTTAAAATATTACTGTCCAGTTGTTCCACGCTTAATTAGTGTCATGTAATAAATTCTCAAAGAAGTCATAACCCATATGTAGTACTTTAAGCATCCCTTTTTAATGTAAAATCAATGGCCTGAATGAATCTGGTCAGGCACGTATTATTTAAAAGATTAAGGGTATCACTGGGTAAAATAAATGCTCTGTCTTTTTTTCTATTATTAAAGCATATATATAATATGTATATATTTTCTCAACCTGCTTATATTAACAGTCCTAGGCTTTGTATCTTAAACATGACATTCAGAAACCAGTGGAGGGGTGTAAGTTAATTACAAAAAAAAAAAAAATTTTTTTTTAAAATTTTTCTCTAAAGTGTTAACCAAACCAGGGTGGGGTTTTCTGCCTCTCTCTTCCCCAACCTTGACCGACCACAGTAATATGAAAAACTTAACTCCACCCAGGTCCATTTCTCTAGCTCAGGGTGGACCGGTAGAAGGTGATACTCGGGGTATCTCATAAAACGTGGCCTTTCTTCACTTTGTGAAGGTTTCTTGTCTTCACACCTTTTCAGTGATCTGGACCATTCCTAAATTATCTGAGACCCCGGGGACATTTCACCTTTCCTGAACGTTTCCTCCTGCCTTACCTAAGGCAGGACACAAAGTGCCGCTAGCTGGTGACCTCTTGGTTCCATCGAGAACCTCCATCTAATGAAGCAGTTTTTCCTTCACCCCTTTTTCTTACAGCCCCCTCTCCCAACCACTCCGACACCTGTTCCAAGGGACCCTGGCCGGAAGCCTATTTCTCTGTCACCATATGGAGAAGTAACTGGTAGCCCCTCCCCTCCGCCCAGGACCAGCATTCCCACACCAAGCGCGTGCACCCCGGCTCTCTCTCCCATCTGGGTGAGCTCCTTCCTTCTTTAACTTATCTCATGCCGTCGGGAAGTTCAGACGCAGCCCTTGCTCCCCAGAGGCTAAGAAGATAATCAGAGGCTGGCTACTCACCATCACCCCCACCTTGCTGCCCTTTTGTTTCTCACCGAGACCCCGGGTTCTTCATGCCAAACAACCCGCTAACAGTCTCCCAGCACTTCTCACTCCTCCCCCACCTTGTATCTCTTCCCACGTGACCCCTTGCCTTCCCCAGGCTCTCCAAGTGCCTGCACCTGAGCGAACTGTCTGCTGACTCCAGGCTTACACGCTGGGACCAATGAGGGCAGGGGCGATGGAGTGACTCGCCCAGAAGAGCTACTTGGTGACTGAGTTGAGCCTGTTTTAATATCCTGCTGTGCTATCAATGCTCAATCTCACTGTCACAGAGAGTTTGTCATAGTTTATGCATCAAGCTAAGGAGAAAACTAGAAATGATGGCGCAGAAAATAACTAGGGGCCTAAGTGATGCCATCAAAGCTCACCTTCATATCCTAATTTTGCCCATTTTACTTTACTTCCTTTGTTCTCTTTGGCTGAGATTTGTTGGGTGAGAGTTGATGCATGTTTGTGTGCGAATGTGTGTGTTTTTCATGCCTCACAGCGTTGCCCTCACTTAGCTCAGTGTGACTTTTCCTTCCCTTTTCCTTCACATCTGCTCCAGACTGATCGCATAAATCCAGATGACATAGATTTAGAAAATGAGCCCTGGTATAAATTCTTTTCAGAACTGGAGTTTGGACGCCCGGTAAGTGAGGCTAGACTGTTAATATAAAACGATTAGGAGAATGTTGTTTGATTTATAAAACATATCGTTATCAGAAGAGATAGGTGTCATTTAGAGAACGAGAGCTGAATACTATGTACACCAAAAACACTCTGAAAAAAGTATATTCTACACACACAAATTTGGTACAGCTTATCCCGCATTTACTTCTCTACCAAACATTTAAACATGTCAGACACTTCCTGTATAGTTTTTCTTTCCCACCAAATCATGCATTAGATTATTTTATATCTGACTGATTACAGATTCAAAATGTTGAGATAGTATCGGTCCTAGAATAGTCAGACAATTATTACAGATTTATAGAAGATTTGTATTTGTTTACAGTCCATTTGGATCTAGCTCAATCAGAAAAGCACTGTGAAATTTACAATAATAAAACTTACTATTATGATAGCTCCTATTTGCTGAGGAATCACCAAGCACCTGGAGAGGGCTGGGTTCCATACTAATGATCTGAGTCCTCACAGTGTCCCTCCAGTAAGAAGCCGGAGGTCAGAGGGGTTAAGTAATTTGCCCAAGAGAGTTAAGTGGCAGTGTCAGAAGTTAAACTCAGACCTATCAGAAAAACAAAAACTTCTGGCAAATCCCCACTATAATATACTGCCAGGATATCCCCACTATAAAATGTCTCATTTGCCCTTAGGGATATAAGGAAAAGGAAAAACGAGGAAACCCTGTGGACCTTGATTTCTCCTCCTGCTACTGAAAACCACCACAACTCCTCTAGTCCCCAGACCTCCACCAAAGGTGGACCTTACGAGAACTGCTTAATCTGTTTGGGATAAAGCATCAACCCAAGCTTCAAATAGCAATTTCCTTTATTAACTCGAGTTTTACTGGGGAACTGCAGCTGCCGACAGCAGTGCATTTGATGTCTGTCAGTTACATAGTTTTTATACTCTCACTGGTGCTTCTGAATTTTAAACACTTAAAGAACATACCGAATACACCGCACAGAAGTTTGATTAAAGATCAGAGAGTACAATCTTTCTTTTATCATGTCATAGACTGATTTATACAGTCATATACTGACCATATATTATATACTAGGTGGTTATAGTAGTTAGTCCCTTTTGTCCCCTAAAATGCAAAGGAGACTTGGTTAGATTCATTGTAGCTTATTGAACTGGATCAAAAGTAACTGTAAATGAGTATAAACCAAATAATATTTTTAGAATTTCTATAACTAATAGGAAGAATATTTTTCCTAATTTGAATCCAAGTATTCACATAAATGCATTTTGCTTTAGAGAAAAAAAATTCCCTAGCTTTAATTTATATGTGTTGTTATTGTTGATTAGACAGTTTATAGGGATAGGACCAATTTCTGTTTTGAGCCTAAATTATCAGCGTTTTTCTACAATCATTTTCAGGCCACACATGGAAACTCACCAGCATGCTATCCACCTGCTCCTTTGGTGTTTTTTTAATGTACCTTGCATTCCTCTGTGGCTAGAGACTAGGAGTGCTAATTTTGATTTGATGAAATGAGTTTATAAATATACTAATCAAATCACTAGTAATTTTGCCCAGTGCTTGAGAATATTTACGAACATCGCACTCTTCCTCCTGGGCTACACCCATTTTGCTCCATTCATGTCACTCTATATGTGTATCTGATACTGTCAGCACTCAATTTCTAACTGTTGTCACCTTTTCCACATGTTCATTCCTTGCTGCCATTGATTCTCCTCCATTCCATCTCTACACTTCTGCTTATGTGGTGCATCTACACCCAGCCTCCTAAAAAGGCTCTGGACTATGTTCAAGATCATTCTTCTGGTGTTTCCAATGAGGTAAAAACAAATTATTCTCTTTTTCAGATTTCTCTCTTAGGACCTGTTACTGTGATTCTGAACATCCGTGTTTTACAATTCGCTAAAGTATCTAAGCTGTTTTTTGAAAATCTGTCTTTGCATCACTAGATTGTATCCAGTATCATTGCCTGGACATTAATTATACCAAAATTGTTGGCTCTTTGTGAAACATAGGTGAAGAATCATTCCGATCATTACTTGCAGGTGAACTATTCAATGCATCCTGGTATCCAGGAGTGTGATAATCAAAAAGCAAAAGTAGTAGTGTTAGTGCATATATTTGATTAGACTGAGTAAAATACTGCTAGAACTCTCTTCTGAGCTGTTTTATCATCATGCTTGGAAGTGTAGAATGATGGTTTATATTCTTAGATAATCAGATTTTTATGTCTCACATATTCCTAAAATTTAATTCTTTCATTTTCCTAAATACAATTTGTGGACTTTAGCATCAGATAAAATCAAGAATAGGGCTGACAAATAACTGGCACACATGTCACAACTTCCCAGTCAGATACCCTTGGCAGACATTACTAATCCTTCTCAATGCTATAATCCAGGCAGCCACTCTAATAGATTATCACTGGCAAATGAGATGAAATGCATTTTCCATCTCTGTATAGGAATGCTCATGACAATCTGATAGGTAAGAAAAAAAAATTTATGCCTGGCAATGTAAAGTGTTATTTGAATTAGTCAAAGAGAGTATGAAAAATAAATATTTTCATTGAAAAGTCTTAACTCAGTTAAATACATGCAACTAGAAAACAAAACTAGTAGAATACCTATGCTGCAGGATATACTACTGACACACGATAGTGACAACTGGAATTGCAGGCACAGTCTCAGGAGGAAATACCCAACTTTCTAGACCAATTTGCAATTCCAAATTATTTCCCCTGAGGTATGCATCACAGTGTATGTTAAAACAGAGAAGTGTTGAAATATTTATATATTAAATAAAAAGTAAAATAGAGTAACCAGAAACATTCTGGGTTATTGAATTCAATCATTTCTAAAGGCTTATTTGCTATAGATAGGTGTATAATCTGAAGAAAATCAAATACAACAAGCAGTTCTATTCTGTGTGTCATGTTACCTCTAGATCTGAAGAAAGGGTATCATTTCAACACATGAACAGCCAAAGAATTTACTTTGGAATTCAATTTGGTCAGATATTTCTCTCAGACATCTTGGTCAGATATTTCCAAGATATTTTTAAGACAGTTAGTTCATTGAGAACTGAAATGGAGTTGGAGATCGCCATGTCTAACTCACTCATTTTTCAGTCAAGAAAAGTAGAGTCCAACTATTTTAAGAAATATGTCCAAAATCAGATGATAATATGGTGGCAAATTAAAAATAAAAAACAGATCGCTTAACCTTCACTTCAGTGCTTTTCCTTTATACCATACTTCTTAGCAATTCCAAAAGATATATTTAGAGCTCAAATCTTTTAGAAACAAATTATTTACTTAATACTATTTCTTATTCACCATTAATTTCTGTGAAATACTTTTCTATAATTAACATTACACAATAATCCTTGGGATAAAAATAGTAGAAACTTAATTCTATGCATTCTGTAATGTTAACAGTAGTGGCAAAAAAAATCACATAAAGAAGCACTTTGCTGATGGTAAACTGATTTTGCATTATCTCTTAGGGATTGAGAAGGGGGTGCTGTATGTTCTGATAGCATATTAGCTATATTATTAACTTCACATCATGGTTTTTCAGTGTTAAAAAATCCTCTGATAAGGTACTGGATTCTGTCTCTAATAACCTTATGTAAAACATTTCTGGTAAAATTTGTAATTGATTAGACATTATCTTAGCTACCATTTATCAATTGCCTAGTATATGCCATGAATAACATACTTTTTAATCCATAAATATAAGTGAGAAGTTGGCATTAATAAGGAACAATTAAGGACTTTTAAGCAAAGTTTAATCCCATGATCACATAGCAGAAAGAGCAATTCAGTGTCTGTATTTTATTAACATGACCTTCATTTAGGTGTATTAAAATAATGGTAATATGTAAATAGTAGATCATAATAGGCAAAATAACTACCTCCTTTCTGGAGACAATTTCCATTTCAGAATGAGTACTATTCATATACTTATCATACAAGGTTTTCTCTTAGTCATATATCTAGACTTTTTATTGTTTCCTTATAATTTAATACTGAACCTTTCCTTTGAACACACATCACAATACTGGTTTCAGTTTATTTTAGGTTGTGGAAACCAGCACAAGGAGGAGTAATTGTAGTTTCTTAGCCTAAGTCTGAAACACAATTAATTTATCAGTATAGAGCCTTCACTTCTTACACTATGTTTTATTTCATATTACAGTATTGTTTAGGCTCATGATTCAAAATCATTTAGCTGGTGATTCAAAATTTCTGATCACTCTAGGGGTATTCTAAGAGTGTTCCACAATGGATACTTTTTGATGGCCAACTGTGGTTTGTGGTTGGATGTCCCATGAAAGCTGTGAGCCACACAGGTGGCAGTGCTCTGAGGCTCTTTGGTGTTGCTCTTCTGCAAACATGTAGAATTAATATTTCAAAATCAGAATATAATTGTCTGGTTTTATTTATTTACTTGTTTGCCATCCTTCTTATTTAGTATTTATCTTTCCACCTTTCCAGTGTCCAATTCAGAGTAGCTGAATAGTTAAAATAGTCATGTAAACTTATCCGATTAGCAGACCAATTTTTTTCTATCTTTATATTTATTGAGAAATTCAGAATCTAAATGTTTTACAGGAACTAAAAGTATTATAATATGCTTTTCTCTGTCTAGAGAAAAGAGAGGGTAATATTCTCTTGCAGAGAGATGCTTTTGTTTCTTTTTGGGCAATTCCATTCTCATTCAGTAAAAATGAAAATATTAGTTTATAGAAGCAATTTTAGAGTTATGCATAAGGGGGATTGTGTGTGTGTGTGTGTGTGTGTATGTGTGTCTGTGTGTGTGTGTGTGTGTATATATATATATATATATATATATATATATATATATATATACTTGGTAGGCATTTCCCTATACATCCTAGACATCATACATCATACCACAACTACTTTCATCTCAAATTCATATCTAACAGTTTTGTTTAATATCTGTTTCATTGTATTGTTCAGAATGAAGAAGTATGAAAATGGTGTGTACAATAAGCATTTGGAATTATTTATCAATTTGTATCATCTATTTTTCTTTGTCCCTAAAACCATGGATAACTGAGAGCTGATTTTCTGACTAAAATGTTAAAAGTACACTTTTCTAAAAAAAGGTTATATTTTGGTTCATTAAACCATTTATTTTAAACTAACCCTGAACATAACTAATTTCAAAGATATAAATCTGTACCTGATTTAAAAACCAGGTAGTCTAGTTTAATTTCAAACCAAATTCTGTGGTTTTTATTAAAAAGTCATGTCTATGTTAACCAGTGAAAGAAGTTCTGCTTACATTTTATGTCTACATAAAAATAACACCTGGCAACATGACAAAAATTTATAAAGAAGGTTATGTTTTATAAGGATTGAAGACTACAAATATTTCTTTAAACATCAAACCATTCCTTTATGTAAGAAATTTCTATTTATAGTCTATTTCTACATGAAGGAGTGGTTATTGATTTTTCTTTTTCCCCCTCAGGCAATGTTTGATTTATGAATATTTTGAGTTACACAGAGAAGAGCGGTGCTGTACAGTCGACCCTCCATATCTGTGGGTTCCACATTCACAGACTCAACCAACTTAGGGACAAAAATATTCCCCCACAAAACATTCCAGAAATTTCCAAAAAGCAAAACTTGAATTTTCCATGCCAGCAACTATTTCCATAGCATTTACATTGTATTAGGTATTATAAGTAATCTAGAGATAATTTACGCAAGGATGTGGGTAGGTTATATGCAAATAGTACACCATTGTATATGAGGGACTTGAGCATCCTCAGATTTTGATATCCTTGGGGAGGTCCTGGAACCAATTCCCATCAGATACCACAAGGGATGACTGTATATTAGAAGAGGAAGTAGATAAGAAGAAAGTAGAAATTAGGTTGCATGATTTCTCTTCGGGAAAACATTTTTATGCCCAAAATAAATGGTATTTTTAATCTCAATTTTGACAGTATTCTTTTTAGGATACCTACTATAATGTCCAGGGACAAACAAAATTATGCTATGGTAAAAATTTTCATGGAACTATCTTTCTATCTTAACAGGCCTCCTTGTATCAATCCTCTATAGACAGGAGCCTGGAAAGACCCACTAGGTAAGAGTCTCATTATTATGCAACCAGGATATTCTATATCAGTGGTTTCTTTTTCAGTGAAATAGAAATGAAAAATTATGTATCCCTCATCTTTATTTTAAGCACCATAATTCATGAAGTTGTTTTAACTTGTTTCTGCATCATTTTATATGACCATATTCAAGAATGTATAAAAATTAAGTAAAATAATTCTAGATTCCATTACAGGCTGAGAAATTCTTGCCTTCCCTGTCTCCTCCATACCCAGTTTTCTTCTCCTTAGATAAGTATAATAAACATCTAATTTTCAATATTGTTAGATGATGTGATGATATATTTGAAAAAACTGTAATAAGTTAGAAAAAATTTTATAAATTATGTTCTACATATGTTTGTTCATTATACTCTGACCACACAAATCAGGAATGCTGTTACAACTGATAAATGGGAACTTACTATATACCGGGCATTCTAAGTACAGAAACATACTCAATCCCTAAGATTTTATCTCTAGTAAACTGAAACTTGGGCTCCATAACATATGAAGTTTACACAGTTGGCAAAATAACTTGTAGGTCCTAACTGTGCTAAGAGTCTACCAAGGCAAGTTCTGTTCGTAGGCTTTAAATATCACTCTTACTTTAAAATATTACAGAAGTTCAGACACAGTAGAATGACAGTAATGAATAATGCAAACTCCCAGCCATATCATATCATCAACAACAAATATTTATATAACAATAATTTGCCCTTCTACAGATTTCTATCAACATAAATGGAAAAGTAAACTGGGTCCTTTGTACATTGGTTTCATGTGTGCCATTCAACAGCATTAATGTCACTGAGAAAGGAGCTCCCTGAACCCCTTCTTTTATATCTTTTACAATTACGTATGCACCTAAAATGTTTGAATTTTAGTTAGTTCTAATCTGATCTAAGGATTTACGTAGAGACACACAGACACTCATGTGACAGGATAATGACAGCAAAAACATGTCTAGGCGAACATGGGTGTCCTCTTTAGAAGAATGCAGACCAATTCTGAGGTCTGGCTCCACCTCTATACTTGCAAAGCTTACAGGTTACATTTATTCATTTGTAAAACAGTGACAACAGCACATAGCTCAGCGGTTGCCGTGCATGCTGTGTAAGACAATAATGACAGTAAAGCAAATAGCATACTTCTGGTTCATAGGAGCTGGTGTGCTGTTGCTGCTGGTGGTGGTGGAATTTTATCTAATGATTTGACAGACAGCATGCTATGTGAGGTATATATTCGTTCACTAATGTTTGTCTTAAATGATATTACACTCAGATCCAGAACCATGATATAAAGTCCCTGCCCTTACAAACTGTCGACACCTTTTAATACAACCAGGTAAAAGGACTCTAATAGTTTATTTGATGATCAGATTATTGGTCATTCATCATTTAAACAGAAAAACGTTGGAATTGCAGTGTAAGTTTTTTAAAGCTAAGATTATTAGGAAAAGCCATAGGGAAAGCTCGAGGTAAGAAAAATTGGTCTTACCAGATCTTCTTCTTTTTTCCAATCCTTTCCTCCATTTTGGCATCCCTCCTCCAGATATATTCATGTTGTTGCAACTGTTCTGTATAGAGAAAAGATGTATGGTACAAATCCTAACACTGAATTGTCAGTAACAAAATATTACACTAACAGGAGAATTTTTACTTTAAAAGGTGATTATGTTCATACAAAAACCTGTACATGAATGTTTATAGTAGCTTTATTCATAACTGCCAAAACTTGGAAGCAAACCAAGGTGTCCTTCAATAGGTGAATGGATAAACAAACTGTGGTACATCCACATAATGGAATATTATTCAACAATAAAAAGAAATGTGCTATCCAGCGACAAAAGGACATGGAGGAACCTTAAGAGCACGTTGCTAATGAAAGAAGCCAATCTAAAAAGGGTACATACTGTTGGTTCCAAATATATGACATTCTGGGAAAGGTAAAACTAGAGACAGTAAAAAGATCAGTGATCACCAGGTGTTCACAGGGAGGGAGGGATGAAGAGGTAGAACACAGGGGACTTTTATGGCAATGACACTACTCTATATGATACAGTAATGAGGGACACATGTCATCATACATTTTTCAAACCCATAGGATGTTCAACAGAAAACATGAACCCTAATATGAACAATGGACTTTAATTACATTTAATGATAATATATTGATATGATTCATCAACTGTAAGAAATGTACCACACTAATAGAAGATGTCAATAACAGAAGAAAATGTGTGCAAGGGAAAGGGAGTATATGGGAACTCTCTGTACTTTCCAATCAATTTTTCTGTAAACATAAAACTGCTCTAAAAGATTTTAAGATTAAAAAAAAAACTGCTCTAAAAAAATTAAGTCTAGGACGTCCTAGCCACAGCAATCAAACAAGAAAAAGAAATACAAATTGAAAAGGAAGATGTGAAACTGTCACTGTTTGCAGATGAGTCTATTAATTTTCAAAGAGGTGATTATAAAGAAATAGTTTTTAATATCAAGGAATGAATTCCTAAGAATGCAGTTTGGGGGATGGGAGATAAGAGGCATACCATGGCCACCAGCACCTTCCACTAGTCTTTCTGATTCAAAGTTGAACCCCCTGCAACACCAACCAAACTGAAGCTGATTCCTTCTTTCAGTTCTGCAAGCATGGCCAGTGACTTCAGGAAAAGGAGGAAGAGCGAGCCTGCGGTGGGGCAGCCGAGGGGCTTGGGTGATCCAACTGCAAGCAGAACTAGCCCAGGTCGAGCAGACCTCCCAGGATCAAGCTCCACCCTGACAAAGTCCTTCATTAGTTCTTCTCCTTCTTCCCCATCAAGAGCAAAAGGTGAGCAGCAATAAATGACATATAAACAATTTACTAGTTTAAGTTTTAACTATGGGAGAGCTGGTCCAATGATAACTACCCAGAAATAGTTAGCATGTAAATAGTGTCTTAAATAAAATATAGTTTCAGAAAAATAGCTTTCTTTATACACAGACTAAATCAGGATGGTGAACCATTTGAGTGGCTTAAAGGACTCTTATCATCTGTTAATGCTTTCTTTCTTCAAATATATTGTGTGTGTTTTCTGGAACAAATTTAAAGTATGAAATATTGTATTGTCAGGCTATTAAAAGATTACAGTTCCAAACATTTGCATATTGTCAACATTTTCTAATGTTACTACAACTAGAAAAATTAATCAGATATATAGAATAGAAACTAGAGGTAGCAACAGAGAACGTTGTTGCCTAAAACGTAAATTGGTTTTGGATTTTTTAAATTATTTAATTCTAGACAAAAGTTTGTCTAACCTATGAAAGTTGTTTCTTTAATCACTTGCTTTATATTTTGGTCAATATCCATACATATAATAGAATATCCATGTTCTGCATGTAACATAGTGTTCAATTCAAAACAGTCCACTAGTAAGAACTAACTGGTTTCAGGCCATAATTGTAAAGTTTAGATATCACCAAGCCAATTTTCTGTATGGCCTGTCTCCTCTCTTGAAATTTAGTGAGTTGTGTTGAAAGGAAGATGTCACTCCTTCAAGTCTCTGTTTAGTTACACATTACTGCAGCTGTAACAGGAATATTCCCAAAATAGAGACCTAGGAATGAACCAGTATCCATAGGTACCTAGGATTTGGGGACTCAGGGTCTCCTCCAATCCTCTGGGGTTGAAACATAAGAGAGAAGAAACTTGAAGTGTGTGAAGAAAGTGAGTTGTAACTGAAGTTTCCATAAAGTAGCAGAGATTCAGCTACACATATCGAATGTAGGCACTGAAAGTGTTGCCACATGAAATTAAAGCTAAGAATTAGCTGGTCTGTGTGCAAAAGATTTGATGATTGGGCTCTGGATAGGCAGGAGGTGCTAGCTCTTGTCCGTGGCCTAGTAAAGCTGTGACTACTTACTGGGAGATTCACAGGGAGGGATCCCCTTTCACTATACCATTCCTCAAATTAACAGAAGTACCCGTATTAGATTCTACTCATTTATATAAACAAATACCCCAAGGAAACCAATAGGTCATGAAATGCCATTGACTCATTATGCTTGGATACCACCCAAAAGTTAAAAGGGTTCTGATTAATTTAGATATTTGTTTTTATCCTAGGGGATGTTAAGTCAACTTCCTTTCTCAAATACTACACAGCTACTTAATGTGCTTATCACTTTTGAAGAATTTGGAGAAGGCAGGAGCTGTCAATAGAGCTGTTTTCCTCCACTAGGCTTGTTTCTAAGAAGAAAATGTCCCATCAGATGTAATTTGGCCTCTCATTTATTAATTAACTCAGCAACACAAAAGAAAAGACTATTTCCATAGATATTCAAAATTGATGTCAGGGTTAGCTCTATATTATTATATTGCAAATGATTTTTTAAAAAGACCCTTCCTGGAAAAAAGCAAGTGCATTTAACTGTGATGAAAGTTTTACATTATATCCAGTTATCCTTATGGGAAACTGCCTAATAAGAGGTTGAAGTGAGAGAAATTAAAGAGGTAAATTCATTTGTTTAAAGAGTTGCTAGTTGGGTTTTTTCTTAGAAAAATATTAGCAGCAATAGTTCACAGCAACTGAACTTGATTTTGCAATTTGGGAAAGTATTTTGTCTTATAGCTTTTTCTACCTAATGCCCATGAAAAATTATTTGATACGGTTATGGAAGTATTAATTAAATGTAAATTTATAAGTTACTCTTTACCTCTTTATTGTTATAAATTAATAATATTATTAATAATTAATACTATTATTATAAATCAAATAAGATTCAAATCCTGACCCTATTAAGATGTTTAAATCTATAGCATTTTTGGTATTAATTACAAAACCTTGAAGTCACTACCAGGTCATGCTATTAGCTTACAAGGCACTACTGGATTTTTGAATACCATATTTGCAGAAAGATGGATGAAATATGCAATAGAAATAGGCGTATTAGCGACACCAGTTACTTTTCATACGTGGTTTTGTTAACTATCATCTGCAAAGCTACATTTATTGCCAAAGCATTGCCTTGCTTTAGAATTAGGCTTTTTTCTCTAAAGTTGAAGCTACACGTATAACAATCAGTGTCTAGATTAAACTCCACTAACTGCTTTCTCTTTGCTGTGCTATCTGATGCTAACTGACATGCTCTCCTCTTTATGAGCCTTTTAACTTCTCCAACGTCTCTCTTCCACCACGCTGCCCTGGAATAAAAGGTGGGGACGATAGCAAAATATGTCCATCCCTTTGCAGTTACTCAGGGCTCAACGGCAACCCCTCCCATGAGTTAGATTACTGTAACACTTACAGACAGCATTTGGACATCCCACATGACTCGCAGAGGGCCATTACTTTCAAAAATGGCTGGCAAATGGCCCGGCAAAACGCAGAGATCTGGAGCAGCACTGAAGAAACGGTTTCCCCCAAAATCAAATCCCGTAGCTGTGATGACCTTTTAAACGATGACTGCGATAGTTTTCCTGATCCGAAAGCCAAGTCAGAAAGTATGGGTTCTCTGTTATGTGAAGAGGACTCCAAGGAGAGCTGCCCCGTAACATGGGCTTCCCCCTACATCCAGGAGGGCCGCAGTAATAGCAGATCAAGGCTCCGACACAGGTCAGCCCATGATGCCCCAGGGTTCCTAAAATTGTACAAGAAAATGCACCGCATCAACCGCAAGGATTTAATGAATTCAGAGGTGATTTGCTCTGTAAAGTCAAGAATAATGCAGTACGAAAAGGAGCAGCAACACAAGGCTCTGCTCCATGGATGCAGCCAGTCCTCCACTGAGGAGGTGCCCAGGGACATGGTCCCCACCCGCATTTCTGAATTTGAAAAGTTGATTCAGAAGTCAAAATCCATGCCAAATTTAGGAGATGAAATGTTATCTCCTGTAACCCTAGAACCACAACAAAATGGTTTATGTCCCCAAAGGCGATTTTCCATTGAGTCTTTGCTGGAGGAAGAAAATCAAAGTAGACACCCTTCTCAGGTACAACGAAGCTACAAGTCTAAAACCCTGGTGCCCATCCACATTGAAGTCACCAGTGATGTGCAGCCCAGAACCCATCTGGACTTTTCTGATAGTGACCAGGATGGAGTCGTGTCTGACCACAGTGATTACCTTCATGTAGAAGGATCGTCCTTTTGCAGTGAGAGTGACTTTGATCACTTTTCTTTCACATCCTCTGAAAGTTTTTATGGATCCAGCCACCATCACCACCACCATCACCACCACCATCACCGGCACCTCATCAGCTCCTGCAAAGGCAGATGCCCTGCCTCCTATACTCGATTTACAACAATGTTAAAACATGAAAGAGCTAAACACGAAAATACTGAAGAGCCCAGAAGACAAGAAACGGACCCTGGCCTTTCTAAACTGGCATTTCTAGTCAGTCCCGTGCCTTTCCGGAGGAAAAAAAATTCAACTCCCAAAAAACAGATGGAAAAGGCAAAATGTAAAACATCTGTATTTGAGGCTCTGGACTCTGCCCTTAAAGACATTTGTGACCAAATTAAGGCTGAAAAGAGAAGGGGAAGTTTGCCAGACAACAGTATACTGCACCGTCTTATCAGTGAACTGCTGCCAGATATTCCAGAAAGGAATTCATCTCTCAAAGCTCTAAAAAGGAGCCCCATGCACCAGCCTTTCCACCCACCATCTCAAGAAGGTGCTATTCATTGTCCACTGTACCAGAACGATTGTGGGAGAATGCCTCACAGTGCCTCCTTCCAAGACGACACCAACAACAACTACCACCACCAAGACCACGACAGTGCACTGGGCCTCCAAGGTGGATCAACTTTTCTATCTTTTCCCTTGTGGTTCAGATGCCCACCCTCCAGCTCTTTCATTTTCCATTCCTACATTCATCATTCTTGAGCTGTGAGACCACTTGGATTCATTATGCATTGTGAAGCAAATGCTTGTTGTGCAAACGTGCCTCACTGAATAGTTCTCATTTGCTCATGGGATATCTGGACTTGATGTGTGGCTTAAAGTAATCATCAATTCACAAAAATTTACTCATTCAGAATCGAAAGGGAAAACCATTTTGTAGCTTGATGGTAGGGTTGAAACAACTGTTACATAGAAACAACCAATTAAACTTATTTTACCAATTTAAAAGAACTTCAAGGCAAAAATCATAATTGAGTATCAGTATCCTTAAGAAACTGACAACTTTGCATTAGCTCTTTTTTTGTTGGAAAATGAATCAAAACCAATAGTTTAACAGTCTTTTCCTTGATTCTTATATTAACTTTATAGTCATTCATTGAATAAATAATTTGCTGACATTCTATATAGAAGATACTAAATCAAAACACTCAGGAAGCAAACCAAAATATGTAATATAGTAATTGATTGGCAATTAAAAGAGAATAGGACTTGTTTAATAACTTTCTCCATTTAAAAGATACAATTGGGATAAAATTTTTGTGAATATATCTTTAAGCTCTCTATATATGTCTCATTTCCATCATTCATTGTATTCATTTTCTCTTCCCTTCCATTATTTAATTAATTTATTTTTTATTTCTGCTAAAACAACCCTATACTGACATTTGAATTAGACTATTTAGGATAAAAGTGACTCTCGACTTCATTTTCATAGATGGATTATTCCTTAAAGTGGAACACAAGGACAAATAGCAATTCAAATACAGAGGACATTTTTTCAGGTTTACGTTACTGAAAAACACAGGATGTTTTGATATTTTTATCCAATTCTTTTCATTAATGCTTAAAGTGCATCTGTTTACTGTGTAAATTTTAGGAAGCTGGAATGAGTATTCCAGGCTGAAACTTGGATTGTCAAGAGAGTTTTCTATGCACCAGACACTGCAAAGTGCTTTACATACATTATCTACTTAACACAGCATAAACCTAGGTGATAGATATTATTGTAAATACTGTTTTACAGTGGAGGAAATCAATACCCAAAGAGGACAAGAAATCTGACCAAAGTCACACAGACAGTAGGTAGCAGAAACAAGATTCAAACTCATGTAATTCAGAATTTGTAGCATAGAATATAATCTCTATAGGCAAAAAAGAGACATAATTCAGATGTCATATTAATGTACTATATATAGCCCAATTGTTAGTTACCATTGCACACATTTGTTTACCTTATTAGTATTATCTTTGCTTTCATTTATACTATACGACATGCTTCAAAAACAGTAAATTCAAATTTTCTAAATCAATGCCAACAATCTGAAATTTTCACTGATTGAGACATGTCATAACCTAATGTTTTAGTAAATTAGCTACTTTTCCAGTTATTCAATATCAGTTACATTTCCACGTATAAGGCATGCGATATAAGATACCATTAATAGATACTTGCAATCATTATTTTATAATGTAATTAACCATGTATATTTTGTTTTAAGGTGAACAAAAACAATGCAATAGTTCATAAGTAATTTGGCAACCAATGCAACACATTCTGTTTTGAAAATTTTTATCCCTTTGTTTATTGGAATAGATATTCACTTTCTAATAAGATAGTTGAGCACAAAGGAAGGCAATAGGTAACAGCCTTTTAAGCCTTAAGCTTTAAGATGCCATCTTCAGACTCAATAAGTAATTAAAAACAGAGAGAGGGCTTCCCTGGTGGCGCGATGGTTGAGAGTCCGCCTGCCGATGCAGGGGACACAGGTTCGTGCCCCGGTCCGGGAAGATCCCACATGCCGCGGAGCGGCTGGGCCCGTGAGCCATGGCCGCTGAGCCTGCGTGTCCGGAGCCTGTGCTCCGCAACGGGAGAGGCCACAGCAGTGAGAGGCCCGCGTACCGCAAAAAAATTAAAAAAATAAAAACAGAGAGAAAGAGGGAAGAGAATGGCCATGACATAGTTCTGTCATCATCATACTTTATTTTTCTCTCTTTTTCACTACCATGTTCTTAAATTAAGTCGTTGCTACCTTCTCCATCTTCTCCAGGCCCTATCATAGTAATTATAAACTGGTGGCAAAAAGAATAGAAATAGAAAGTATTAAATCTTTGAAGTGAACAATCCCTGTAACTGCAAATTGTCTATACCAGGTGCTACAGTATAATTATATCAGCAATGTTACAATTATATTTATATTTATGATTATAATACTTCTGCAATCTTGTATTGCAGAAAAAGGAAAAAGGAAAAAATGGGAGAATATCCATTTTTCCTCTTAAAATGCTCTGTTTTTGTCTTATATCACAACTTTACAATTACCCATGAGTTTCAGACCCATGTGTTCCATTGCAGTGTCTCTCCAGATGTGAAGGGTAAATAGTTGCCACCAGGAAAAATGGCTAAACAAGTCTGCCTTTGATTAAGTGGAATCTCACTCTGGCCCTGTCCTTTCCAATAGACCGTGAGTCCCCTAGAAGTTACACATCCACGCTGACCGATTTGGGGAGAAGTGTACCAAGGGAAAGAAGAGGAACTCCAGAAAAAGAGGTAGTCTTTTTAGTATCATTTGAGTCTTTTTCACCAATATACTTGATAAAGCACTTGCCAGCCGAAGTTACCTCCAAAACCAGTAAAGAACCCAGATTAAAAACACAGAAGTGATGGCAGAGAAACTAGAAACAGTTTTCCCTGGAGCCCGAGCAAAGGACTTGAAGCCAGCTGCATTCTGACCCTAGCGGCAGGTCTCCCCCAGTTGTAATCCATTTGACAGTGACTCTCTGAATCTTGACCTGACACCCATAAATTAAAGAGTCTTGAGCTGGGCCGCCCCTTGGAGGAAGAAGGTTTCCCCTGTACAAATTTCTGGCCCAGTGATGTAGGGGACAGCCCTAGGTCAGCCGTGCTGCCAATCAATACAAATTCCATAGAAACAATTTTTGCTGGCCTGCTTTTGTTAGAGAGGGTCCCTGAAAAAAAAAAAAAACACTGGCCCTGAGAACCACCTACCTACTGGCTCTTGTCCATGGTCCTGAGCCAGGGCTGGAGGTCTGGCTTGTACTTTCTTGGAGCCATGAAGGTTTGATAGAAACTGAAGGCTGGTCTTGGACTGGCATGCACTCTAGAAAGTTCTCTACAGGTGTCTGACATAGTCCAGGGCCTGTGGACCCCCAAAGAAGTCAGAAATGATCCAGGTTGCCCAAAGTTCACCAGAGTCACAGGGAAAGAGTGAGGTGAGGGGATTATTGGAATCAGAGAGGAAGTAGCTACAGGCGGCCCAGGCAGATCTGTGGGCCCCGAAGCTTGAGTGTGGGCACAAGTCACATTGTATCACGACTCAAAGATGAGCAGCTGGTTTACTGTGTGCTGAAGAATTTCTGAACTCTCCAGGGAATATAAAATGACCAGCCTATACTTTTGGCCACTAACGAGACTCTCAGTGATAAGTGGGCTAATATTTCTTTGCTACTATGTCAATTAGTATTTAGTAAAAGGGGTAATGACTTCCCTCATGACTTTTTCCAGTCCTTTTATTATGATTCAGAAGTTGTGTCAATACTTAGGACATACAGCAATTGACCTCCCACAATTATCCCAGGAAAAGCCAAAATTATACCTAGGACTGAATCCTCTGCAGGCATTTTAGTCCCCTTTTATGGCATTCATTTACCTTAGTTCCTAAGATGAAATATGATATTCAATAGTTAGGGTGAATAAGTCATCTGTTACATTCCTGTTGTAGTTTAAATATCTAAATAAAGAACTAATTGATTTATTTATAAATTGCATAAATGATTTAAATTGTATATGTTTAATCATTCCTTGAGGTTTCATTTCTCTTTAATTCACGTGAAACTGCTTTTTTATAGGAAATCCATAATTTTAAGTTAGCGCTAACCATTTCCTTCATTTTCAGAAATTGCCTGCAAAAGCTGTTTACGATTTTAAGGCTCAGACGTCCAAGTAAGTAAGATAAGTGTTCATCATATGATTTAAGTTGACTTTAAATACATTAATAATACTTTGAAAGACAAATATTGCACTGGGATGTGTTACAAATAAGACCTAATTCCCAATTCAGCAATCTACTCTAATTAAATGGTTCCTTCTGAATTGATTGGAATGTGGGTAATTTTATTTTCATTTTGAGTTTAGTTGAGAAACATTGAGTTTTAAATTACACCAAACGCGTTAGAGCACAATGAGTTCAAAAGGATAGGAAAAAAAAAAAATGAAATTAAGGATCTTTGTTTCTACAATTTTCATGTGGAGAATGAAGTAAAAATAAATTGTTGGGGGAGTAACACTTAACTGGAGAATTTTATATCATTTATTTATCCAACTATATTCAGGATAGTTTGTGGTTAAAGACTAGAATTGTTTATGAAGATTCCTGGAGTAAAATCTCCATTTCTCAATACTCAGAGCTTAGAGACTCTGAGCACGGTTCTATCCTGTGGTCTTTTGATGTTGGTGTTTTCATACTCCTGTGTCGTAATTTTTTTACCTTTTTTTTTAGGAATTTGTTCATCAGGTGAGCATAGGGTTGGGGAAGGCTAGTACTAAGCACATAAGGAGGCTTAAATAGGAGTGAGTTTTCCAGCTCTGTTATGGCCCGTGTCACAGACCTTACTTAAGAAACTTTGGTCTCCATTAGAATTCAAGATATTGGCATTAAATTATACCGGTGCTGTTTAGCTGAATATATATACAATAACCAAAGCATTTATTCATATAAATGCATATTATATGAATTAATAGTTAAAGAATCTAACTCTGGCAGAAGACATAAAAAATAAAATCACTCAGAATTTGGGAATTAAATTAATTAAATAAGAAAATTCTCTTTAGAAGTGAAGATGTCAAACATGGCTTAAATCTGGGGTTAAAAAAATCCTGAAGGAAAGCTTACAACTTTTTTTGATGAGATAAGTAACATCTGCTCTGTTTCTACTACACTATGGTCCTAGCTACTGTTCTTTGGATATGGTGTGATAATTTGTACAAGGCATGTCAGTTTTATAAAATAATGACATAAAACATGTAAATTTCATTTCTTCTTTGTGACAATCAATCAAAAGTGTCCTTGGATGTATGAAGCCCTGAGGAATAACAGGGCATATAAAATATGCCCAGGGCTCACAGGCTTTTTGAGAAACCTTAATTAGAAACAGGCATTGAAAGAAAGATGAGGTACAGTGCAGAGGAGAGGGGTTTGTGGTGTTGACTCTGTCACTGGATTGCATTTGCTCCAAGTGCCCAGCCCCTCACCCTCCTCCAAGACCACATCCTCATTGTGAATGTCTGACGTTGGCAAAGGTTCAGGGAAACCCACTCTCCCACACGCTGCCCGTGGGAGTGTAAATGACACAGCTGTTCTGAAGGGCTGTTTGCACCATCCCACTTTCACAAAGGTCTTCCTCAACCAACGAAATCTAATTGTATTATAAGCCTCCAGAGAAGTGAACTGAACAATCACCCATGGAAACCATCCCATAATTTTAGTAAGAAAAAAAAATGTTTCCCCCATACCATCAATAAATTTATCTGATTGCAGCTTAATCACACTCCTCTTGTTCTGTTCTCAGGAGATGTAAAGAGCGGTTGTCTGTCAGCCCCAATGTAGTTATGTACCTGACACGAAAATCAAGGTTATGGATGACTCATGCAGCTTTAAAAAAAGGTTCACAGGGCTTCCCTGGTGGTGCAGTGGTTGGGAGTCCACCTGCTGATACAGGGCACATGGGTTCGTGCCCCGGTCCGGGAGGATCCCACATGCCGCGGAGCGGCTAGGCCCGTGAGCCATGGCCGCTGAGCCTGCGCGTCCGGAGCCTGTGCTCCGCAGCAGGAGAGGCCACAACAGTGAGAGGCCCACATACCGCCAAAAAAAAAAAAAAAAGGTTCACACACCCAGAGAGCACTGAAAGTTTCAGGAGGACCAGCCACATTTTTAAGTCATTTCAATCATTAGCTAGATGTGAGGGTTAGCAGACATTTGGTCCTATCCAAAATGTCCATGAACATATTTGGCTCATGCCAAATTGTTTTGGACAGGACCAAATATCAAGGACCTTTTCATGTGGACCAAATGTCTCATGGACATTTTGGGCAGGACAAAATGTCCTGCAAGAGATGTGAGTGCTTTTTGTGCCTAACATCTTACAAACAAGAGACAGATATCTCTGTTTCAAATAATTATCTGTTTTAAAAGCCGTTTTTCTTTACCTAACACAAGAAAGTTTAATTTTCAAAAAGACAACTAAGTAACTCACCAAACATAATGTCTCAACTGTTAAGGAGGAAAACGAGATAAAATGCTATTCCCAAAGGTTGTCAGTGGCCATGGTTCAAAGCTGGTAGGCGCTGGTTGGAGCAAACTGGTCAAAATGGGACTCTTAGAAATTCTAGTTCTGAGATGAGACGAACATAATTTTGAAAACTGGAGGGTGAGATCACTGTCCTTTTTTCTAGACGACTTCAAAAATTTAAAGACAAGTCTTTACGCATAGAAAAGATATCTTTTCACACTTAAAAAAATATAAATAAGAGACAACTAATTATTTTTCTTTTAAGCTAAGCTTCCTACTCTCATTTCCAGAAATAAAACATACCTGGTATAAATAAAACAGTTGGTTTGTAAACATTAAACATTTGGGGTTTTATTTTCTACATTAGGCACTTGCATAAAAGAGGGAAGTACTGTATTTGAATGTCAGGCCCTGTGAATCTTGTTTGCTTCTAGGGTTACTGAAAATTTAACACAGATTCAATGTGAAAGTTTTAGCCCTTCTAAATGGGTAATAATTCTTTTTACTATGCAACTTTTTTCAATTAATTCTTTTAATCAACACGAAATATTCTACATCTGATATAAACCTCTCTCCATTATGTACTCTGCACACATAAATGATCCAACTCAAGATTCTGAACAAAGCAACGCAGAAGATTTGGGAGTGGGAAGGCAGATGTGTGTGAAAATGGGGCTCTTGGCAAAAGATCTGAAATAGGTACCCTCCAATGAGACATAATTGTGGAGGCAAAATAACACTGAGACACAATTACCTGGGGGATGAAGCCATGAAAACCTGAAGCAGTGAGGGTGACAATTTAGGCGTGAATTATTTATGATGACTAATGTCTTTATAACTTAAAATTAAATACTCCAATTTACGTACTGTCTCCTTAGAAACAGCCCAAATGGAAAAGCATAGTTAGTTTCTTGAAAATATTTTTCTATTTAAAAAACAAAAGATATAAAGGCGGTTACAAGCCATCTGTGCATGTCTTTGCACTTGAAACACGTTTATCTTTGTGACTATAGTTAATAATACTGTACTGTATCTAAGAGAGTAAATCTGAAAGGTTGTCACCACAAGAAAAAAAACACTGTAACATATGTGGTGACCAGCGTTGGCTCAACTTATGGTGGTGGTCATTTTGCAATATATACAAACACTGAATCATTATGTTGTACACCTGAAACTAATATAATGTTACAGGTCAATTATACTCCACTTTTTAAAAATGTTTATCTTTGTGCCTCACTGAAAAATCAAAGCATAAAATCTTTTCTGTTTCACAAAATAAATTCATTATCAAGATATTCTACTTAAATGCCTGTCAAGCAGCTTCAAGGATCCACAAATAAAATTTTTTCTCATGTTGGCACTTCCGTGCTAAGGCTAAATGACACTGGTTTCCTTATTGTAAGCTTTAACATATCAGAAGGAGACAGAAAGAGAGAGAGAGAAGTAAGTAACCAACTAGCTTCAGGACAAGTAAAAATCGCTGCGGAATGAATCCAGCCTTATGGCAAGCTTCCGGACTCCTCTACTCTAAACCAATGACTAGACAGCAAGTCTGTCTCCGCCTTTAAATTTCATATTAATCTGCCTGTGATTTAAATCAGATGTGATGTTTACATTTGTTCTTTTTGAAATCATTTCTAAAGTTACAATGTTTCAAAGGAATTCTAAAAATTTTCAAGGAAAATCCTCATCTAACTGGACTCAACAGATTTTTTTCAATATTGGAAGTATATTTCCCAGCCACATACAGATCTAGCGAGAATCTTGATCTTAAGAATAATCGCCATACATCCGGAAAAAAAAACACATTCAAATGTATCTCTTCTAGGGAGCTGTCATTTAAGAAAGGAGATACTGTCTACATCCTCAGGAGAATTGATCAAAACTGGTATGAGGGAGAGCACCACGGGAGAGTGGGCATTTTCCCAATCTCATACGTAGAGGTAAGTCCCTTCCCCTTCCTCCTTACGTGGTTGCTGTTTCCAGGGTTACCACAGGTCAAGCATAAGTAACTGTTCTCCTTCATAGAAACTCACACCTCCTGAAAAAGCACAGCCTGCCAGACCGCCTCCCCCTGCCCAGCCTGGAGAAATTGGAGAAGCTGTAGCCAAATACAATTTCAGCGCTGACACAAATGTGGAGCTATCGCTGAGAAAGGTAACCTGCTTTCTTCACTGGTGCATTTGAAAGGCTGTATATTTTCACAACTAAGTTATGTCATCTTCTTGCTTAGACATTTTTGTGTCTCCCTCATTTTCCGCAAAGAACTCCATCAGGCTGCCCTGAGTCACTGTTACCTGCCACTCCTGTGTCCTTCCAGATGAGGTGCCTGTGGGATGCAAAGCTTCTCAGAGAGACTTTCCCTCTGTGGTTTAGCCTGGGAGGCTCTAAATTGTCTCCAAGGGGTGCCTCGGGCTAAATATCAGGAGCTGTACATGTGGAAACATCAAAAGAAAATAGCACTTTAATACAGTTCAAAATAGTGTTCTTCTGCTGCCTTACTATTCAAAAATTATATCAAATTCAAAATTTAAACTGGGTCTTGTGGCATTGGCTTGATCCTGCAGCCAGCAGGAATAGTGACTGTAGAAAATTCTATCATTGCAAAAGCCAGGGGGTTTATAAAAAATATTATTGGGCTTCCCTGGTGGCGCAGTGGTTGAGAGTCTACCTGCCGATGCAGGGGACCCGGGTTCGTGCCCTGGTCCGGGAAGATCCCACATGCCGCGGAGCGGCTGGGCCCGTGAGCCATGGCTGCTGAGCCTGCGCGTCCAGAGCCTGTGCTCCGCAACAGGAGAGGCCACAACAGTAAGAGGCCCGCGTACCGAAAAAAAAAATATATATATATATATTATTGACCGCTATGGCATGGCCACCCACCAATCAGAATGGATGCTGGTGCTACACCATCTTGATGCAGACCGGGTGGATGTCAGCCCTGGCCACAGCTATGCATAATCTAGGATGCTAGCTTTGCCCCGTCCTGCTAGCCTCACTCTTTGTTACAACTCAGAACATGTAGATAAAGAAGAAAAACATTGTGCTATCCAACTTCATCCCTTCCAGGGGTTGACATCTAGAACCCATTTCAGATACACCATCACAGCAAGCTATAGTGCACTTTCTGAAGCTCTTCCTACATAAGGTCATTCCCTTGAATCTGTCAGTGATCAGATGATGGTACTGTCATCGACACATTGCAGGTTAAACTACTGTGCTTTTTGAAATAACTTACACATGTCATTTCCCACAGTACCAATATGAACATGTATAAGGCCAAATATCCTTAGGAAAGATTCTAATGTTGTGAATGGATGATTAAACCGCATATATGTTGATAAGCCATAATTTGGGAGTAAGCTCTGAGGCTTTAGTTGCATTCTCATAACAAAAACAAAACACTGGAAGTATAAGGCTTTCCCAGATGGAAAACTATTGTTTATTAGAAAACATTGACAATTATAATTTTTATGTTATCACATCTCTATTTCTAATGCATTTTCCTAATATTCATTACAGGGAGATAGAATTATTCTTCTTAAAAGAGTTGATCAAAACTGGTATGAAGGTAAAATTCCAGGAACCAACAGACAAGGCATCTTCCCTGTTTCCTATGTAGAAGTCATCAAGAAGAATACAACCAAAGGTGCTGAGGATTACCCTGACCCTCCAATACCCCACAGCTATTCTAGTGATAGAATCCACAGCTTAAGTTCAAATAAGGTAAGAAAACATTCTAGCATATTAAGTATAATATTTGGGAGCTCAGAGTAACATACTCGGTACATGATTTTAGGACATTAGATTACAACATCATATCTATGGCAAAGTAAAAGATTTACATGTTATGTTTCTAGGTGCCAGGTCAAATCAATATAATTTAATTTTTCCTATGGGTGCTGGCATAAAGGTTAAGCTACATAAAGGGAAACTACATAAAGAATCTACTATCTTAAGAGAAGCATTTTCTTTTAAAGGGCTAAGGCTAGGCATTTTATTTATTCTACTTTTCTTTGAAGACTGGGTTGCTGAGCAATTACTCTCAATCCTTTATCATTGGATAATGGAACAGTCTGGTACTTTCCAATTTTGTTTGATTGCTTATAAAATTTTCCAGAATCTTCTTTAGTACATTTACTTCACTAGCAGAGCTCAGCATTTAGAGCAACATCCTTCCTTCAGTAGTTCCTACTGCTAGAAAGAAAAGAATCTTCATCCATATATTTGTCTTATCCACCATTTAGTCATCTTAAAAGAACTACCAGATAAATTTCAAAGTGACTGTACTTTCAAATAAAAGTTTATAAGAAAGAATAAGTGTGTATCTACAAAGGCTTATTTAAAATATAAGAAATTCTTACATGATGTCATAATATTGGCAATGTAATATTTTAGATCACAATGTTTAATCTTTGCTGAGAATATGATTTAAACGTATTTTCAGTTTCCTAAGTTTTCTCTTAGAATACCAGATTTTACATTTTATAAATCGAGAAATGTACAAATTTCACTAATAACTAATTAGTGTTTTATTCTCACTGCTAGGGAAAAATACGTTGAAAAGCTTACGTTCATAAATTTTGAAAAATATTTAATGGTTTTACCAACTGGTAATGTATACTATGATGTCATTGGCTAAATGAAGGGAACTTCTCAGTAGTTTTGAACTGAATCATTTTCAGAAAAAGCACTGTAATGTACTTTTAAACCATGATACCCAAAATATACTAAACGTTAAATATCCTATTTTCTGACTGATATTTATAAATAGAGGAGGGAATTCATTGTGATTTATGAATCACTCTTGGACATGTTCAAATCACATTTCTTGACATACTATCTTTATTTTAGGAGAGACTCAAATGTAAGTTGATATTATTTCTGATATTTCTGCCTTTAATATAGTAGAATCCAATTCTAATGCTTTTGGAAGAAAAGATAATTATATGATGTTTGTATTATAGGTATATTTTTGTGATATAGGTATCTCGGGATACTTAATTTAACTTTCAGTAGAAGCAAGTCCACGGTAAGGCTAAGCACTTTGAACCCATTAACATGTATATTCGTGACTGTGGCGGTCATGGAGCTGGAGTAGTAGTAGCAGCAGGTAGTAATGGGATAGCAGTAGCCATGACGATAATGGAATTTAAAGACCTTTCCTCCTCAGCCACATAATGTTCCTAGCACTAAAGGTGCTATGTAGCCTTTAGTCTTGAATCTTCTGTAAGGATGCTCACAAGTGTTTTGTGACATTTAATCTCATTTATCCCACCCCATGGTGACACGGCATCACATTTCTGTTTTTAAAAACTCTAAATAAATTCTATTAAAGCCCCATTCCTATCATAGGACAGAAGTCAAAAGTTAAGTGGAGAGTGCACTGTGCACTGATCCATACTAAGGCCCAAGGACCAAGAGTGCTGCGTGCACCAGTGACGTGTCAGCCTAAACAGTCAACCAGCAAGTGCAATCTTTCCTGAAGATATTTTCTTTCCAAACCCAAATCATCGACCTGGAAAGAACCAAAGTAAAATGTCTTCCACCAGCCTCTCTCAAGGCCTTCATATATGTAGCATATAGCATTCTTCCTAGTCCAAAAACAATACATAAATGTATTAGAATGTTTCTAGGCAACACTTCTAGAACAACTTTTAATGAATTTACATAAAAAATTCTGTTTTGTTCAATGTATCCAAAATATAGCGATAATATTGATATACAGAAGTATTTTTTTACTTCAGGAGATTAAGCTTCATAAATTAGACCTCCACTAGATTATATAAAATGTCCAGCTTTTGAAAAAAAGAATGGAAGTCCTAGCAGAAGTTTATTCCTGTTCGCATCATATGCTCCCTTTCTATGTCAACAGTTACTTTGGATTTTTTAAAACTTTGAAATAGTAGTTATGTAAGTTCAGTCTCGTTTTGATCATGGGTTTCTGTTCTTAAAAAATATCTCTCAGAACTTATTCATTTAGAAATGTGTTAACATATAATGATGTAAAAATATTTTATGCCGTATGTTATAATCACCTCACAAACCCAAGTGAGAAAATGATGAAGGTTCAAAAGATTTGGCACAGGAAGAAAGAACACTAAACAGATTCTGGGAATAAAAAAGGTTTCATTATTGGTTTTCATTCTACATTAACATTATTTCAGAGTCATTTACATTAAATCAATATCTGGAAACCTGCTTTGAAAGAAGTAGTCTATTAAATTAAATCTCTAAAGATTTTGCTGTCTGTTCTTATAATCTCTATGACAGCTTTATCTTGTCATTTGACATTTAATAGACCTTTTCCAAATACTAGTATAAAGTATTCAGATAAATCTTTAATTAACATACTAATTATTTTATGTATTTAAATTCAAAAACTATAAGCAAATATAGACCATAGCATAAAATATTTTTTATATTCACCATCATACCTTTCTGCATTTCTCTGTCTCTGTGTTTTAATGCATTATTATTATTTTCATGTTTTTTTAACTTCATATATCCTGCTCGTTTCTAAGTTGGCTTCCAGCGAACCAGTCCCCCCTCCCTTGCACAAAGCTTCATGTGGCCCAGATAAAGGAGCTCTCCAGGGAATCACCCCGGGGTGGCTGTCCCTGACAGCCAAGTGTCCACTGGTAAAGCCTTTGGCCCCAACACTACCTCCTTTTCTGGACAACTTCTTGGACGAATTAGAGAAGCTTGGTGCTTTAGTTTTACCTGCTGACCAAGCCAAACCAAATACCCCAGAGGAGATCACCCTTGAAATTAAGGAGGACCCCTCTGTTGTCCGCCCATTGCCGCCAGCATCTGCACCTGCCAAGCCACCCTCCTCGCTGCTACCTCTCCCCCACTTGGGTGCGACCTCAGCTGCAGCCCAGCCCCCTGAGGCAGCGCCACTTCAGGATTCCAGAAAGACACCTCAAAACCATTTTGCAGATCTGACAACGAGAAAGGGTTCTGCAGGCCCTGAAAAAGTACCTGAGGTCCTAGGTGATAAGTTCGTGACCTCTGCACACGCTAGTGTGGGTCCCTTGCCCCAAACCCTCCCCGTCATTGGAGAAGAAGATGAGGAGATCTATGAGGGGGTCATGGCAGGTATCCGAAGAGGGCCAGAATCTCAAGAACCAGATGCCTTGTGGTGTGGCCACGATGGCACAGAGGTGACACCACTCCTGCACATAGAGGAGGAAGAAGAGAGGGAAGCTGACCGCTTAAAATTTCCAATAGCAATGCCCACAGACCCTAGGAGCCCTAAGGAAGACAGCGATGCAGCAAAACCCAGTGAAGAGGTACTCTAATTTTGCCTAATTCCTGAAGAACTAACCAGTCTTACTACGGTTAGCTAGTACAGTTAACCATATTAATAAACATCAATTTTGACACTGTCTTGGAAGGTTTCCATGCAAGAAACACAGCACTATATGAGGTAGGGGTGGAGGGATGGATAGAAACACACCAAATTTTAACAAGATGATGTAAATATGTGATATTATTCCATTATTTGTTTATTACTATAAATCCATATTTAAAGATTTTTGTAATTTAAAGTCTTTCTAATTTTAATATTCATAATAATAGCTAATAGTTGAGCTCTTACTGAGTGTCAGGCAGCTTTCTAAGAATGCTACATCTTTACTTTTCAAAGCTCAGTAGGATGGGTTATATTATTATTCCCACTTTCGGGATGAGGAAATTGCTACACAGAGAGATTAGTTCACCTCCAGGGTGAGAAAACTATACACCATATCTTTGTAGCAGTAGCAGTTTGAAAAAGAAGGGAAGAAAGAAAGAGAAAGAAAAGAAAACAAAAAAGAAAAATATACTGCAGTTCCCTTTCCACTCTTTCTGAAGAGGTAATTGCTTTAAGTTGGTGACGACCTAAGAGTTGAGTCCTACATATTCACCTTACAAACAAAGAACCTTGGGCAATAATTTTAATCAGTTAAGAGGGAAATGCTCTAAATCTTTAGCTTGTAAGCTTCTCTCTTTCAAAAAAGACAAAAACAAAACTTGATGTCTCAAATATTTAATCTGCGAATTAAAAAGCAAATATGATTACTGGCAAATGTTGAAATTATGGAACAAAATTCATGATTCATATTATGCCACTAAGCAAGTCACTTTCCCCCATGGCTCGTCTATTTAGAAATCTTTAAAAATGAAAATCAGTTTTAAAACCCCATAATTTCCAATTAAGATCTTACCAATAACAAATGTAGAGGCATTTGGTCTATATGGGGTATTCTTGGGATTAAATAATGGTGAGTGCCCATTAGGCCACCAGACACCCACAAAACCCTGAGTCTTGGCTGTCCCCTAACCAGGTGAGAAAATGTCATCTGGACAAAGAAGGGAGCCATGTCTGCATTCGTATAAAATAAACACACTGCTTAGTAATAGAGATCATTCATTCATTGCAGTAAGTCAAACAGATTTCTAAGTCAATTACTTAAATAACTAATTTCCCCTTCAATTTAATCAAGTTTAAGATGTGGTTAGACATGTGGCTTGGTTCCCAGGAACTGCTACTGCTGGCTGCAGGCAGCAGCCACAGCGTGGTGCTCAGGGGGTGAGTTTCACAGCCAGTTCCCACCATGCACGCATACGCACAGACAGAGGTCGTAACTTCCCTAGCTTTGCAGCAAACTGACTATAAATTGTGATCTACTTCACAAGCAAGTTACAAAGAGTCATTGCAGGGTTTTACGCTTTCTTCCTCA